ACCCTCCTCAACAACAAGAGATCTCTCAGGTGCAGCAACAGCCACAGCAACATGCTGTTCAAGGTCAGCAAGGAGCTGGGACTTCTCAGCAACAAGAAATGTCATTACACGATTACTTCAAGTCTCCAGAAGCCATTCAGGTTTGTAATCCACATCCTTGGTGATGATGCGCTGTTTTGTTTAGTATCACGTGACAAACTTTGTCATAATTCTTAAATCTTCTTTTTCAGTCTCTACTAAGTGACCGCGACAAGCTGTGTCAGCTTCTGGAACAGCATCCAAAGTTAATGCAGATGCTTCAGGTTGTTTTCTAAATCGATTCTTCTCCTTCTATTTTTTTTTTTTTTTTTCGAGTGCTTTCTGAAAACATCATCGACCTTCTGTGTTCACTTGTAGAGTTACACTGAAATTGATATTTTGTTGTTGATTGTGACAGGAAAAACTTGGACAGCTATGAGAAGACAGAGAAAGAGACTTCTCAGCAAATAGAGCCTTTTGGGCTACTTTGTTGCTTTTGTATTCCTGTAATTTTTAATAACGTGTACATTGCTTCTTTTGATATGTAACAAAAGTGGTAACGGTGCCGTTTTCTCTGTTGTTTATTCATGTACATTAGCAAGAAAAACATAGCTTCCTCTCTATTCTTTGATATTTCATTAGGGTGAAATCTATTTTCAAGCATCTAAGCTAAATCATTTCTACCATTAGTAATTATCAGACCAAATAACCGTATAGTACCTAAACTCAATAATTAGGTGCCAAAGAGAACAACAGCTAGATAGAGAGAGAGAGAGAGAGAGAGATCATGTAGAGTTTGAATGATATCAAAGTTGTTTGTAGATTCTAGATAGGTTCAAGTTCCACTGAAAATGACATCAAACTTACCACAAAGATTTACGTCTTCCAAAATTTGCCGCTTCATGTTACAACAAGCATCACATGGTCCGAGTTTCTTTTCGGTGAACTTTCAAAATGGTTGATCGAGACATCATATATGTTCTACAACAAATAATAATCACATTTACACTTCTAAACCATTAACTAACTTTTTACCATCATCATATTTCAGGAGCCGAATATGTAGTACGTATACCCGAGCAATATTGAGATTGCTAATGGGAAGCTTTCCGGTTTTATCTTCATATACCCACTCGAGAAAGAAAACATGAAGCGTATTATCAACAATCAAAATTGTAATAGATAAGAAAAATTCAGATTAAGGGCGTGATTGGTAAGTGCTCTGTAGAGAAATAATTATTTCTAGAACACTAGTGTTAAACCAATCATGCTTTGATTTCATTTTTTAAGTTTAGAGCTATAATTTTAAATATGGAAATGTTTTGGCTCTGCAGAGCAGATTTTCTAGAGCACAAATTTAAGGGCTCTGAAAATTTTCTCTCTTCTCATTCCTTAATTTCATTCTCTATATTCTTTTTTTAATGTTTCTTTCCTATATCTCTTTTATTTATTTTTAATAATACATTTATGATATATTATAAGAAGTTATTTATAATAAAATATTTTACAGCATCATAATCTACAGTCACAGCAAAAAAATCTACAGCTTAAATTCTACAGCAAAAAATCCAAAGCTACAGACGCAACCAATCAGGCCCTAAAACTTAATAAAACAGTTCAACTTATTGTTGAAATATATATTCTCATAACATTTTTGTTTGCAAAATTAATCACTAAACTCTTTAAATTGAGTTTTTAGCTACTTTCTATTCACTAGTAAATAGTAATCACTAATTATGTATATATATATCTAAGATTTATTTCAAACTCTTACTTTCTCTCTCTTCTTAAATATTCAATCTTATTATATAAAGCTGGATGCGCACAACGTGGTTGCGACACATAAGATTTTTATAAAATATAAGATTGCGACATGTGTCACTTTTAATATTACGTTCGTTAAGATCGTGACACATGTATTGGAAAAAAGGAAAAAAAAATAAAGAGAAAATTTTAATCTTTTATAATAAAAACGAAAATTTCTATAATAAATTGAAAATATTGTATGTCTTGGGAAAAAGGAAAAAAAAATTAAGGGAAAATTTAAATCTTTTATAATAAAAACGAAAATTTATATAATAAATTGAAAATAATGTAATAAAAATACCTATTAGTACATAGAATAGGTATGTAAACTAAATATCCTAAAACTTATGGAATAGGTTACACAAACCCCTATTTTAAAAATTCCTATTAGTACATGAATAGGTATGTAAACTAAATATCATAAAACTGTATGAAATTGGTTACATGAACCCCTATAAAAAGAGAGCTATTGTATTCTCTTTTTCTCATTCACAAACTCATCAAAGCAAATTCAACAAATCTCTTTGATTCTCTTTCTCTAATTTTAAAATCATCTTGAAAGTTCAAGAGAACAGTGGAAATTATTTGTTTATAGGTCAATTGGATCGAAATCAAAATTATCACATACTATAGTACGTGTTATTCGAAAGTGGGAAGCTAGAAATCCTGAAGAAAATAATATTCTTATGGGAGTTGAGCTTCTATTACTTGATGAAAAGGTTAGTAACATCTTATTATATTGATATAGATAATCTTATTATAACATTGATTAACATTAAAGTTTTACTTTTGTTTGAAACAGGAAAACACAATTCAAGTTTTTGTGCATCATTCACTACTTCAAAATTTTGGAGATCAGATGGCCGAAGGAAACATTATCGAAATTTGTAATTTTAATCTGCAGTCTGCTGATAAAAAAACTTCTATTACTTGATGAAAAGGAGGAAAAATAACTCTACTAAGAAAAGGAGGAAAAATAACTTACTAAGAAAAGAAAAAAAAAACGAAAATCAAAGAAAGAAAAATTTTACATCCATTACTAAAAGGAAAAGTAAAACATATTTCAAATACAAAAAGGAAAAAAAAATAATAATATATAGTAAGCTATAGTCTTCATGATTTAATTGTGTGATTCTATTTTTGATTAAACTTCTCTCTCATTAAGAAATAAATATAATGTATTTGAAAGTTCATGATATCAATGAAGAATATTTAACTCTAGATCAGTTGGATCCAAATCAAAATTATTGTTGCTACTTGTGTCTAATATTTTGAAAACAAGTGTTAACACAAGAAAATTGGAAAAATGTATAAAAAAACTAAAAAACGAACAAAATAATTAGAAAACAAGTAACTAATGGCCTGAATTAAAAACAAAACTGAAAAAATAATATATAGAAAACTAATAAAATAATTATCGAGCAACTAACTAATATTAAAAGGAAAAATTTATAATGAACTGATATTCTAATTATCATAGTTTAATTTTTTGTTAGGTAAAAAATATTAAAAAAAAAATTTCATCAACCAAAATCTCTTCAATGGAATAATAAAATTTTCACGAATTAATCAATCAATCAGACTTACACATGTGTAAGTCTTTCAATTTTAGATAAAAGTAAAAAGATAACAAATTAATTCATTTTTCGTATCATGAATTCAGAAAATATGTCAATTATAATAAAAATGTAAAAAGATTACCAATCTAATATTATTTAGAGGTATTTTATCGGATTTTAATACTAATCTACTTACTTTTAATTGTTTAAAGTGTCAAATTTATTTAATATTTTTCTATGACTTATTTCAAAAATTGTATAATAAACCCGCGTATACGCGAGGCTTAATCTAGTTATTATACGGCTTCTGAAGTCATCCACAACAATTATTTTAGAGCTCATATAATCTTCCACGTCATCACCAATTAGCAAGATTAAAGGATTTAAGGATTAGTTTGAGTCTAATCTCCTCCTCTGATTTTTCGTCTTCATCTTTGAAGGTTCTCTATTCTTTTCTCTTCACATTCTCTTCTAGGGTAGCAATAGCACTAATACAATCAATTTCTCAAGCTAGCATTCTCATCTCCGTAGTTTTTTATTTAACAAGTCTTCAGATCCGTACTGAAGAAACTCACTCTCGCTAATAGAAGAAAGAATTAGCGTTCTGGAGTTTTTGGGTTGAGATATTTCTCACAATCTCCGATAAGCATATATGGACGCTTCTGAGTAGTTTTTTGAGGTAAACCTTTTGTCCTTTTTTTTGATAAATGTATTACAATTGAACTCCTAATCTTTTCATCTTTTTGTTCATTTACCTGCAAAAGTTCACATTTTTCTTCCATTTATAACATAAACCTTTGTGTATCTCTTAGTATAATCTCTCTTCAAGCCTCTAAGATCATTTGTTCAAACAATAATTGTCATAGACCGAATAATAACAGCATAGTAAATCTTAAGAACACATGTAGAAAAAACAGTTTTACATTATTAAACTACATTTACAACTCTTTTAAGGTACGCACAACACATTAATTTGAAGGAATTACGTACATTAATCACCGAACCTTGAAGAGGCCCCATAAGAGCATTTGAAATCAATCCCATTACGTGAACCAACAAGATTTTAAACCAAATGTGAACCGAAACAACAAAAGAAGAATACGAATTTATCCCTTAACCAAACCCATGACACATCATCCGATAGATAGACAGACATTGAAAAGAGTTTGTACCAAACAGAAACAAACTGGTACATAGAGAGAGAGAGAGAGAGAGAGAGAGATCTTGTAGAGTTTAGATGATATCAGAGTGTTGTCCGTAGATGCAAAAGCTCTACTTTTCTTGTTACCTTTCAAAGAAATTCCACTGAGAATCTTAAAGATTCAACATTTAGGGTACTCTTCTCTGATAAATTTAGTATACAGATGTCGTCTTCTTTCTATTTCTAGGTCTAGTTCGTCTACGGAAAGGAGATCAGTCAATTCGTCACTAACTGAAACTTGCATTTCTGTATTCCTCTCCGCACTTCCTCACACTTCCGGTGGTTAATGTCTCAAATTGGGTAATGATGCTGTTTTTGCTGAATCTTTTTCTTTTGATTTCCTGGGTTTTTGTAAATAGATCCCATTTCTTGCTCTCTGTTCAGGTCCTGAAGAACATCAAATCCAGATTTGTTCTATGGAGGAGCCTCGTGTAAGTAACTAAGTATAGTACTAGACAAAGATGAATTTCTGATTTCTGGGTTTTTTTGTCAAATTGATGATTTTCTGTTTTTTTTTTTTTTTTTTTTTGTCCAATAGGATGATCAAGCCGAGGCTTCATATACATTTGGTGATAGATCAAGCAGTGACATAGTAGTTAGACTAAGAAACGAAGAAGGCCGTGACGACTGGATCTATTGCCATTCCAAGATCCTTACCGAGAAAAGCAACTACTTCGCTGACCGTCTCTCCGATAAATGGCCCACCTGCAAGATTCTTGATTCACGCTACTGTGTCGAAGTCATCTGTCAAGAATCAAACTACGACCACCACATCAACTTCTTGAGACTCCTCTACGTTGTCTCTGACGATGTCTCCGAGGACAACTTGTGTCACAACGTGAAAAGTGCGTTGGGGATTCTCTGTGTCGCTAAAGAACTTAGCTGTCCTCAGATTGTCGCTGCTTGTGTCAACTACTTGGAAGCTGTTCCGTGGGAAGAAGGAGAAGAGGAAGAGATTCTCCGTATCATCCCGGGGATTGGACCAGAAGCAGAGCCTGTTCTTGCTCGTCTCCAACCGGTTGATCAGTCAGCTGTTGTCGGAATCTTTGTGTCGGCGTTTCGTTTCGCTACATCGTCACCGTCTCTGCCCTTGTGCGACGTGAAATCATCGGCGCAAGAACAGATTGAGTATATGATAACAGAAGATGACGATGCTCCGTTGTTGATAGCTGACGAAGCAATCAAGATTGAAGTTAAGGAATGTGTAGAGAGACTGTTTGTTAGATTCTTCAAATGTCTAGAAGAAATCTCCTCCAAGCCAGTGGATTCGAGCAAGAACGAGTGTTTTAGGATGGTTGTGTCGGATCTGTCGTGGGCATTTCAGATATTAACGAAGATGGAGATGGTTAGAGATTTTGTTGTGACATGGGTTGATTCATCTGAGAAGTTAGTTAAAGTAGTTGAGCAGTTGGAAACGACAACGGTTGAGATAAGGGTTAAGGTCATAGAGGTGACTGCAAAAGTGATAGAGGCGATTGGTTATGGAACTGTGATATTACCAACGGCGAAACGGCTTCAGATGGTGAAGTTATGGCTTCCTTTTGTAAGAAACACAAAGCCTCTTGTTGACTCAGCTGTTGTTACTGATAATGATGGTGATGATGATGAGAAGGAAGGTGTGAGGTGTAAGATCGATGGAGAGATATGGCAAGCTTTGGAATCTTCCTTTGTGTCGATAATACTTGCATTGCCGTCTTCAGACCAAGCTGAGATATTGACTGAGTGGTTGAGTAAGAGCGGGTTGTATCCGGATTTGACAGAAGCTTTTGAGGTTTGGTGTTACAGGTCAAAAGTGGCCAAGAGAAGATTGGGTTTGGTTGGGGGTGAGGAAGACGAGAACGGCATGTCTTAGAGCTGTGAATCTAGAAAGATGAACATTCTGTTTTTCTTATTTTGTTTTTTGGTGTAGTAGTAGCCATAGTAGGAGGTCTCTTTTAACCATTTCTGTGACTTCTCTACCAAATATGTCATGATCATATTATCTTCCATTAGCAGTTTCCAGAAATCTGTAAATACTGTTGACAAAGATATTTCCGTTTCAATATGCATCCCAATCTGCAGAATGTCGATCAATTCGATTTTCTCTTGATGATAAATTGAACGTTTAATATCGATTTTCATATATATATGTATATAGTAATTTGGTTGATGATAACTGACATTGGCAGCAAGATAATATGATCCAACCATTGTTAAACACTTAGATCCCAGATCCCAACGAATGAGATAAATTTTCATAACTGAGAATGGTAGGGGCTGCGCGAACGCAAACCCCCGCTGCCACAAATAATGACGTAGGCTCTTCCACGTGGGAAGACCTTAAGCTAAGCACCCTTCCGATATGTGCAATGGAAGTCACTAGCCTAGGCCACTCGTCTTCTTGATTACGAGTTGACCCCGTCCAGGTAAGTGATTTTCACAATCACACGAGCGTGTTATTTATACCCAGTGTCCTTAGCCTCCTCTGTTTCGTTTAACCGATGTGGGACATTCGCTTACATCTCGCACTTTCCGCCGTTTCTAAACTTCTCTAAAACAAAAAGCGTGTCGTTTTGTGCTCCATATGTTGAACGACGTGTCGGAATGGATTAATCAAAACAACGCTCACGCCAAGAAGACCTTCTTTGTTTACATTCTCTCTACTGGGCCGGTATCCTTTGTCGCCCAAGTCGATTAATTTACTTGATTAATGCTAAGCAAGGTTCGTGTCCGGACTTTATAAGCTTAAGACGTTTTCTCAATCCCAATAATTATGTGTTTATTGGATAGTGAGTGCATGCATAGCAATAGTGGAGTATGAAAAATTAATTCTTTTTTTCAGCGAAAATGAATCGCACTTGTATCATATACAAAAGCTAAAAATGAAAGTTGTTTATAGACTAGAAAAATCAATTTCTAAAAATAAGTCTAAACAATTGAAGCAAGCGGTAGGTGTGACTTTTAGTGGAGCCCTAATCTCAACCAATGGGGTTGTCTTGTGTCCAGAATCATCTTAACTACATCTTCTACAAATGAATCAAAGCAAGAAGAGCAACACCCTCTCATCAGGCTGCTTCTGCTGTTGTTGCTACTGCTGCTCCCAGGTGTCATATCATCGTGAGGACAAGTCACTGGCGGTGGAACAAGATGGACCTCACTGCTCTTGTGTTCGAGTCCACAAGCTGCCAGTATCGTGTGTATTGAGCACGTGGAAATCTCGTCAAACGTGGCTTGACCTGAAAAAAAATACAATGGAAAGATACCAAAAAACTACACTCAGAATAACATAATACCAAACCATAAAGGCAACTTGTCTACAGTGTAAAGCAAAGAACAACAGTTAAATCAAGAGCTTGAAGAAGGAATTGGATTACGAGCGTGTACCTAAGTTGATTTGACTGGACAAGTTCTTGAGATGGGCTTTAACTCTTTGTTGCAGTAGTCCTTCTCCTCCCATGGAAGACATTGTGACTGGCATGAAGCTGAGTGGAAGTGGTTGATTACCAAACAAGGGATCACCCTGAGCCAGTCCATGACGCAACCCTAAATCGATAGACCGATCACCAAGAAACGTATTACTAGACAAACGTCTGACTGCTTCTTCGCTTCCAAAATGTTCCAACTTTGGAGACAAAAGCTCAGGGTTGTTATTGGGTAGCCTTTCCTCAGAGACTGTATACAACGACATCCCTGTTCCTTGGGTCACTGCAGGTTGAGACGGTTCTCTTTCTCTACCGTGACCGATTTGTGTAGTCACGAAACCATCACTCGAGTTAGCAATCATCGATGTTCCACCACTTCTGCTACCCATATTAACAAGTCTATCACTGTTGATAATGTTTTGTATGTGTCTATGAAGCGTCCTTCTTCTTGATAATGTGGTTGCTCCTAAGCCGGATGGAGAAGAAGCTTGAACATCACCATTAGGAAGCCTTGGAGAGAAAATGTACTCTCCGTTGAAAAACGGTGTGCGTGGGGAGACTAGCAAAGACGCATCTTGATGTTGCCCTGAAACTACAAGAGGTGATGGTCTACTGTAAAAGCCACTGACCCGTTGTTGCTCGGGTGTAGTATGTGTTTGGGAACTAGCAGATCCAAGTGCAACGGGTCTACAACCTTCACAGTACCAGTTTCCTTCTGGTACTTCCCTCCCCAGTCCAACACAGTACGTATGGGCAGATGAATCACAAAGATCACAAAGTAACATAAGCCCATCATCTTCACCTTGGTGACATTCCGTGCATATTGTGTTTTCATACGGATCAAAATAACTCCTCAACTCTTCCTCAGTCGGTTGATAGACCTGCACACATTTAAAAAAAAAAACATATAAATAAACAAATTTATCACACAAAAAGTGTCATGAAATACAATACAACCACACTTGATGAGAAAAACTGAAAATTTATGTCCATATGTTAAGAAAAGCTGATAAGGTCTCCACTATCATGCATCTGAAGTGGTTCCGAGAAAACTGATGTTACTGGTAACCATAAAGTATTGAAATGATAAACTGCTACAAGAAGGAATGTCTATTTGGACCTCAAATGTATACTATGACTAATGAGGACAGTAAACTAATCAACGAAAGAGACTCTATAGGCGTAAAGCAATAGAAAGAGTAGAAGAAACAAACCTGATCCCGTTCAGGTACAGGTATCACGACTTCTCTCAAATCTACTCCAGGCGTAGATCTTGCAGCCTTACTGATTGTTCTGAAACGCTGCTTGCACAACGGGCATCGAGACTCTACTTTCGACCACTCCATAATGCAAGTGAAGCAAAAGTAATGACTACAGCAGTCCAATGTTCCCTTCAATCTTCGCATGTCTTCCTCAGACAGACAAATCCCACAAACGTTTTTCATCACATCTCTCTTCACTAGCTCGACCTTCTTTTCACTTTTCTTCACAGGAGACTTGCGAAGCTGAGGCAAATCTTTATTGACCGTAGTTTTTCTCATAGATGATACATTCTTCACACTACTTCTCAACAAACTACCAGCTTCTCTCACCTGCTCTCTTTCCTCCTCCGAGATCGTGTACTCATAATCGGATTCTCCAGAGGATGCAATGTCTGAATCTGATGCCACTACACACCGACGCCTTGGCCTTGATGATCTCGTCTTGGTCTTCGCCTTCTTTCTTGCAGGTAGGCAGTCATCTACAAAATCACCATCATCATCTTCATCTTCATCTTCATCAACCTCTTTCTTTGTTTTTCTCCCACGTCTCTTTCTTCCATTTGCCAAACGGGGTTTTGAAACAGAGCGTTTCTTTCTTCTACTACGCCCACCTCCAGCAGATCTCCGTTTTCGCTTGTTTTTGTTACAAACCTTCACTGTTTCTTCCTCCTCTTCCTCATCTAAGGAGATATCTTCGTCTGCGGAAAATTCTTCATCACTATCGTCATTTTCATAATCTCCATCATCTTCCTTCTCTGTCTCCACTGACGCGTTGTCCTGCTCTTGCAATCCCATCTCTCCATCTTCACCATCATCCAACGAGTTCAAATCCACTTTCTCACACCCGACATTTTCGACACCCCTCTCTTCCTCTTCCTCACCATCCTCCTCCGGATAATCCCCATCTTCATCTTCCTCCTCATAGAAAACTCTCCTTCGCTTTCCTAAACCTATTCTTCCGTGTTTCTCTCCATCTAGAGACCCAGCTCTCACATTTCTCCTTCCAACAGCCTTACTTGAACCTCTCATCTCCTCCTCTTCGTCATCCGCATCATCTAAATCCACATCTTCCTCATCTGAAACAGCCTGGCTCATCTTCCTCGACTTGCTTCCTGTGATTTTCCGATTACCACGAGGACCAGTTTTGACTTTTGGCCACTCGACATTCCTTAGCAACACATCTTCCTCCTCTTCCACCTCATTAAATTCCTCATCCTCCACCGCATCGGACCCATCGAAACCATCGTAGGAAGCTTCACCGTCTATGGATGAGGCATACTCTTTGAGCTCAGCCTCAGATTCTTCTTCATCCTCGTCCGATATCACATAATCCTCATCTGATTCATCTGAACCTGTATCCTTAGATCTCACCTTTCTATTTGAGTTTCTTCTCTTTCCCATAATCTCCACCAAAACCACTAATCTAATTCTAAACCCCAATAAAGAATTCTCTAAGCTCGTGAACCTAACAAAGAAATGATTCCACTGATTTTTTTCCAGCTCGTCTGTGCTAAAATTTATAGCCTAAACCAAATCGCCCAGAAATCTCAGAGCACCAGATCTGCAATGAACCCAAAAACACACAACAAATCAGAAAAATAATTGAGAATCATAACGGCTCTCGATTCGATTCCTGGCAAAGAAATTCTACAGTTACCTGATATTAAGTTTATAAATGCTATTTAATTCCGATCCTATTATAGAAAAACAAAATCAATCTCAAAAGCAGAAATCACACCCTTAAGAAAGAAAAAAATGAATGAACCCCCAATTTCCAGATACAGAGAGGGAGAGAGAGAGGAAAAGAAAAAGTCAAAACCAAAAAAAAATACAGATTACAAAATTAAAATCTCGGACCGCTCCTATACAAATATACATACATACACAGAGCGAGATAGAGGAGAAAAAAAAAACGAACCTCCGATGAAGAAGAAAGAACACTTTTGATTTCCACTAAATTCGTGAATCGTGATCCTTTTCCCCGCCTTATTTTCCTCTCTATTTACAATTTTTTTTTTGGTAGCGAAATTGGGGAAAGGTATTTTGATTTGTTAGAGAGGAGGGTACGCGGTTGGGGAGGTGAGAGCTTTTGCCTGGAATGACGGAGTTACCCTCGGCCGCTTCTGGTGGCAGTTGCAGTTGCAGCTGCTATTGGGCTTTTTTGACTTTTTAAGTGTTTAGTTTAGTATAATTGCCTGAGCACGTGAGCCAGCTATACTCTGTGGTAGAGCGTACTGTAACGTTTTCGTAACGGACGGTTCTTTTTAGCACTGATTTATTATTTTATTGCAAATTATGAGAACAGTTACATGACAATTTTACAACGTATAATTCTATCGTCTTCTAAAACTTGACGACCAATCAACGAATTTATCTACTCCACGTTGAAGATCTCCTGCAAGTTTGTCTTTATTAATCTGTAACAGACAGTAACGTTTTCATATTAGTTTATACGATTTTTTTTAGCACTGATTTATTATTCTATTAAAAATTATGAGAACAGTTACATGACAATTTCACAATATATAATTTTATCGTCTTCTAAAACTTAGACGACCAATCAACGATTTTACCTACTCCACGTTGAAGATCTCATGCAAATTTGTCTCTATTATAATTTGTCTTTTTTAATGAGGAACTAATAGGTAATTAAGTTACTCTTTTTTAGCACATAGTATTTGATTTTAAGTTTAAGATGAAAAAATGCAACCGAAAATTTTATAAGCTAATCCATCTAAGCTACTCCTGATGAAGTAAAAGATATGACAAATTGAATTGGCAATGCGCCTGATGGCTGATATTGCTGAAGGGCATAACCAATAGTATTTGATTGAATTATCCACAATAATACGGATGTTAATATGGGCCTAATCGGGCCTCTCATTATAAAGCAAATCATCAAAAGTCTTTTTATGTTAGTTGTAAATTTATAGGATTATGGGCCTCCGGTTGCTGTCGAATGTGTTGATTTTGGAATTGAAACTATCATTTACCGAAGTTCAAACCTTTTGTTAATTCTCCAATGTTTATTTCGAATTCTTCTTATTTCAAAAATACGATACACATCACTTGTTTTTCTTCACACATAATCATTTTGGAGTGGCAGGACCAATCATTGCTTGAGTTGATCTTAATCCAAATTTTAGGAAGATAATGCGCAATTAAGTGATTTCTTAAAAAAAAAAGGCAATGGAAAGATAGATAGCCTTGTAATGATTGTAATCATGATGTGCTTCTATATATCAACTGGATTGTAAATTATTATCATTTTCTTACAACCAACCAATTAAGAAAAGAAACGCAGCATTAGATTCATCACACTTTTAAAATAAACACTTTTCTCCTCTTTAGTTTGGTTCCGTAATGTTCTCTTCTAACATGTTCCGTTTTTTCCTTTCGTTTATAATTTGTTGTTGGACTGGTTTTTTCCTTATCTTATTTAATGGAAGTTGAAAAATAAATAGATACACCACTTACCATAAATGTTCAACAATTTTAAAATCTGACCTAACCAAAAAAAAAAGTAGAATAAGGGTCAATGTTGGGGAGTTGGAAAGTGAAACGAGAGGCCACAGCACACAGCCACACATACAAAAAGGTCCTTATCTGGTGCACCGTCCCACATGTGATTGCTGGGCACCAGGTGTCAGTCAGAAGAATGGTATGATCCTTTATTAGATTGTGTGCTCGCTAGTGAACCCCCATGAGGACCCAACTGATCAGGGTGGTTCTCACGTGGGTTAATTTCTGCCAATTTTAACTTTTTCAAAATAAATTACTGTGACCTTCCTCCCCCTTACTAGGAAGTGACTGAGTCTGGCCCTCACACGGAAAGTCCTCCTTTGGACCTCCGTTCCACCACGTGCCACCCATATGATATCATGTCATATATGTGAAAACGGTCTCTTGAGAAATTGATAGTCTTTTCTTCGGTTATTAGCTCGAAATAATTGAGACCATGCAAAGATATCGTTTGCACCGTCGTTGCCGACACATGCGGGTCATACACACAGTCATCGCTTTGGGTCCCACACTCCCACTAACTATTCTCTTGTGGGGAAAGGCTTCGTCTCGAGTACAGTTTCGTCACGGCGTCTTACCATCGTAAAGCTGTGTGACGTTACGGTTATTAATTCGTTTGATCGATGCAAGAGTATGTTTTGAACTTTTGATATCGTAGGGTTTTCTTCTTTTTTATCTCAGGGGTTGGTTGGAATAGTCAGTAATAGTAGCAATGCCAAATTCTCGGTGTTCATATATCATTAGGTACGCTATAGCCTATAGCAGACTGCGATTAACCTAAAAATCACAAAAATTGGTTTAGTATATGGTTTCTTTAGGTTTTAGGTACAAACATGGACCTTTTCGATCTTGTAACGTGTCCTTTTTCACATGTTAGGATCTTTATTGAACATAACTTAAACGTGTATGGCTACGATCTACGGACTTTATTCAATTAGCATGTTCAAAGGCAAGGCCTTTTCTTTTCTAAGCTGCTTTTTACCTATTACGGAAACAATCTTTTTGCATTATTAAACTCTTGAACTTAAAAAACGTTTTTAAGTCTAAATTAGCACAAATCTGATTTACTGATCACTAACGTGAAATGCAGGCTCTTTCATAACAAAAAGATTATATATTCATCACTAGACTAACATAACTTTAAGATCACAGAGTTTATACAACAATTTTTTTTAGACAAAAAATAACTAAAAGAGTAAAAACAAAAAAAGTCCTTATAGATTTGTTATTGACTTTTGTAATTTGACAAAATTTCATTTATGTACAGTATGTATATAAAATTATTTAACCCCCAACCCACTAACGACAAAAGACGATGTGTCTTGCTACGTCTCTGCCTTTATATTGCCACAAGAAAAATGGCTCTAGGGGAAGAAAAGAAAAAAAAGGAGATATATCGATTTTTTTTTGTCTTCCTCGGTCCTATATAATTACTCCATTTTCTTTGGAATCACTGAATGGATTGTGATTTCTAATTTGTGAGACACACACACTCTCTCTCTCTCTCTGCTCCATTAGTTTCCTATCCGGTGTGTATTATATACGTCACTTTCCGAGCTTACGTCAACTCTACGGTGTGTATCACGTCATCTTTTCCCTCCCGTCGTACATTTTTGGTCTTCTGTTGATTTATCTTTTTCAGAAACTTTTTGTGCCACTAGATTTTTCAATACTCTTTACTTCGTTTGAAACTTTGAATAGTATTATGGATACATATATATTGGAACATAGAATAATTCCAATGACTTGTTTAGGCATAGAATTTGGTCTCTAATTCTCCAATGCAAGAGGGGAGAAAAAACAAATGTTTTCCAGATATTCCTTTTATTAACTTTATCAGTATTATTTACTCGTTGGTTATAAATTTGGAAATACATGAAGTAAATTATTTTTACTTTATGAAGAACTGATGTAACTCTTAGGAAACAATTCTTCTTTTGCTGATGATTCTGTGTCTTTTAAATTTGAAAAGTTCTTTCTTTAAAAACAATATCTCGAAGTCGTAAATATTCAGTACAAGCAAATCTTGTGATGGGTTTGGTAGCAATCTTGTTTCACAAAAACAGAAAAATTAGGCTTAGAGAATAAATAACAAACTAAAGGGTTTTCCAATTTCCAGATTTTCTAAGATGTGAAGGTCTTTGCATTGCTTGTTTTCCCAGAAAAGTAAAAATGAGAAAATCTGAAAAGTCTTGCAACTTGATATCTATAATTCTATATGTTACTAAGTTATCTCCAAATATGTTTTCTTAGAAGATTAAACTCGATTTAGCTTCAAGTCAGATCAGATTCGCATTTCTTTATGAAAAAGAAATCTCAATCATTACTTTCTCTATTACGTCCAACTTCCACTCTTTGTAATTTTAGAGAATTCTTTTAAGAGCTAGTGTTAGTTGAATTCCATGTCACACGTGAATATTCTCTTACAATCTTCTGTCCTTTTAACGGTTTTAAAATCCCTAGGTTATCTTTTATCTCCTGTTTTTTTCCCCCGGGGAAAAAGAATCTCAAAAGCAAAATTTCCCACTCTGAACATTATTTTATCTCCCTCTTGCTCTTTGATTTAATGCAACTCTCTGAAACTCTATGAATTTATCACCTACAGATCTCAAGATCACATGATATTTTCATCATCCTAGGCAAAATGGGACATTTCTCTTCCATGTTCAACGGCTTAGCTAGATCCTTGTCGATCAAGAAACCGAAGAACAGCAATGGCAAAAGCAATGCAAAGGAAGCCGCAGAAGAAATGGCGAGAGAGGCCAAGAAGAAAGAGCTGATTCTGAAATCCTCTGGTTCCATTAACTTAGAGGGATCCATTAACTTGGCCTCTGTTTTCTCCAAACGCGGTGAGAAAGGCGTTAATCAGGACTGTGCCATCGTCTGGGAGGTACACTCACTACCTCTACAAAAATCTATCTTAAATCTGAATTATTTAGACAGCTTTTTTCAGTCTTTGGCGTTTATTTAGCAAGATTTATCCGTCACTTTTTGCTTGCTTACAACATATTGAAGTGCAAAGATGTTAAACTTACGCAAGTCTCTTTAATGCTTTTGCGTCAAGATTGTGTTTTGAATGCTCCTCTGTTTCTATGTATTGAGCACTTTTCTTGAAACGCACGCAAACAGGGATTCGGGTGTGAAGAAGACATGATCTTCTGCGGGATATTCGACGGACACGGTCCTTGGGGTCACTATGTAGCTAAACTAGTTAGAAATTCAATGCCTATATCTTTGCTCTGCAACTGGCAAGAAACTATGTCTCAGACCACATTAGCAGAGCCCAAAACAGAGCTCGACGAATCCGATCAAACCCTAGAGAGGTTCGCCATCTGGAAACACTTGTTCCTGAAAACCTGTGCAGATGTTGATCAAGAGCTTGAGCATCACCGAGAGATCGATTCTTTCAACAGCGGCACAACCGCTTTAACCCTTGTGAGACAGGTAACAAAAAGACCCTCAAGGTTGAATAAATTCTTGTTCTGTTTCAATGATCAATGTTCTTCAATGGTATCTTGCTACACTACAGGGTGAAGTTATTTATGTAGCGAATGTCGGGGACTCACGTGCTGTACTGGCAACAGTTTCAGACGAAGGAAGCTTGGTGGCGGTTCAGATCACCGTCGATTTCAAACCAGATCTACCTCGTTAGTTCCCTAACCAACATATGAATATACCTAAACACATGATTTAGAAATCTTGAATCTTTATCTTTTCAAGTTTTGTTTCTTGCTAAAAAAAACAGAGGAGGAAGAGAGGATAATCGGATGCAATGGGAGAGTGTTCTGCCTCCAAGACGAGCCAGGGGTCCACCGTGTGTGGCAACCGGAAGAACAAACTCCGGGGCTCGCAATGTCGAGAGCCTTCGGAGACTATTGTATCAAAGAGTACGGTTTGGTCTCAGTGCCTGAAGTCACTCAAAGGCATATCTCCATTAGAGACCAGTTTGTAATCTTGGCCACTGATGGGGTGAAAACATTAACTGAATAAGCTCGAAACATAATATTTTGATTGTGTTATTAATGACTAAGTCATTTACTTAAAAATCTTGTAGGTATGGGATGTGATATCAAACCAAGAGGCTATAGACATTGTGTCCTCAACCGCAGAGAGGCCAAAGGCGGCCAAGAGGCTGGTGGAGCAAGTGGTTAGGGCTTGGAATAGAAAGAGACGTGGAATCGCAATGGATGATATCTCAGCCGTTTGCCTCTTCTTCCATTCTTCACCGTCGTCGTCGCCATCTCTATCGCAACATATTCACACAACCTGTAAATAGGTACATAATGGTTTTGGCCTTTGGGACTGGGCTAGCAGAGAAAATGGACTGACGAAAGATTGCATTAAGTCTTTCTTTTTTTACTCAACTGTTCTCTGCCGTTGATTTATTTTTAAAAATAAACGTTTTCCACAAGCTCTTAAGTTATTACCGAACATGTGATGGAGCATTCCTTTTGAACAAGAATCAAGTGGAAAGCATAAAGAAAAAAAAAACCAAGTATTTTATAAGAAAAATGTAAGATGTATTGTACAAGAATCAAGCGGCACGTAAATATTTACAAACCTAGGAAGCAGTCAAAAGAAATTCCCTCTTTCTATATAACTAACATCTCTATATATTTGTAACGTGTGAGATACTTTACCCATCTAATATAATTTTTGATAACCGTCCCCTACCGGTTAAATAGAGTCCCGCGGACAATAAATGGTGGTTAGTGGAAGACTTGAGGAGCAGTGTAGAACTCAGATTCGTTGAAACCCGGTAACAAATCTTCTTCATCACACATGAACTGTAATGGGAAACACACAAGGTGCCCTCTTGTCTCCTTCAGCATCTCCCAAGAGTCGCTGCCGCATGGTTTCAGCTTCTCCGGTGCAATGCCAAGGTCGATCGTCGTATGACCCAACTTCTCTTTACAAAGAGACACGTTTTGCCTCAATGCAGCTCTGTAGATGATCAATATCAGATTAGATTATCTCTCGGTTAAGTATAAAAAGCCAGATTAGTTACATATCGAGGACAACAGGTGTGTTAATAGTATTTTTATCCCTAAAGAGTAAGAAGTATGAACCTTGAGCGTATATGTTCATTAGGGATGCAAGAGAAGACTTGGTCGTAGATGTCGGTGTTCTTCTTAGCCGTGGCCATCCACAAGTCATGGTATGTTGCATCTTTTATTGGATCTTCAATCATTTTCACCTAAACACCAAAATAAGATTAACATTATTAGAAGTTTCTATGAAGCTAAAGATGGTTTAAGAAGTCTTGGGGCTATGTAGCCTCAAAACGAAAATAAATAAGTTCTCAAGTAAGGCATTTTTAGAAAAGTTACAAATTACCTCTCCGGCTGGAAGGCCAAGATGCTCCGACCAAAGGGAACATCTGAGACTATACGAGAATTTTCCGGCCATCCACTTCACTCCGTTCATCGAAGATTCCACAAATTCTTTGTCTTCGACCACAACTCCGATCTGAAAATATGATCCATTCAAATGAATACACAACTCGATCCTTTTTGTTTCTTTCCATAAATAGAAGATCAAATGGGAGTTATCAATTAAAATACCTCAGAATCTCGTGAGCCTAGTAAGCTCCGATCGTTGATATTAGACGATCCAATCACCGCGATCCGGTCATCAACGATGAGTAGCTTGCTATGCACGTAAACCTGGCTAGTGGCAATTGGACCACCCTCGAACAACCGTCCGTACGATCTCAGACCATAGAAAGAGATGTAATCTTGCGTCTTGGAACCGAGCAAAGCGTCAAGGTTGTCAAGAATCGAAGTTCGTTCTCTGGAGATGGTACGGTACTGCCAATGCATCAGTGCTCGAACCGTGGCTGCTCCAAAGTCATCAATACCTCCCTGAAATCCAGGGAGGAGCGGTACAACGATCACGACACGGAAGCATTTGTTCTCTTTATGAGCCTTGAGAATGCGTCTGTATAACGCTTCGGCAACGCGGTTTAGAATCGTGTCGTCTTTCTCTAGCCCAGAGATGAAGAATTGGTTCTGTTTCAAAGGAATATGTAGGATTAATCTGAGATGTGAAGAGATTTTATATGAAAATGTTTGAATTGTTGACATTTTGCTATATACCTCGATGTAGATAAAATGCTCAGCGTTTTGGATGAGAGAACAGTAAGCTCGATGAATGCTATCTTCAGGCTGGCTAGTCCCAGCGGACCATTGGCTAACACTTCTAATGATCTGACACCGGCAATCACTTTGCTTACCGATCTGCCACCACCACTCGTTCACATTCTCATCCCGGTCGCTCTCCTCTGAAGTTTCACCAGGAAACTCATGTCGACCATTCCGATGATTGAGATCTTGTCTGGAACCGCTGTCAAACTTCATATCTTCTTCGCTGGTGGAGTCTGCATCGGTTTCTTGCGGGAGAAGCAAAGGGATGTCTTGAGAAGGTGAGGCAGATGAGAACGAGTCTTGTCTGGCAAGAACAACAGGCTTCTCAGGGTCTTCCTCTGGTTTAGCTGTGTTGATAATATCGATCTCTCTAGTTCCCAAGTAGTGAGGAAGAACCATATGGTGATGAGGCATCAGCAATGGAATAGTATGTTCATTCGGTGCCTTGTTTCTCTAATCAAACAAACACAAAATATTAAGCAAAAACATTGTTTAAAAAAAAACAAGAAACCACAATTGTATCTCTGCATTACACTTACCTTAGAGTGGTTCCACCGCTGGACGAAATGTCGAGCCACATCGCGACAAGGCGGTCCCCAGAGAGCGCAGTGGACCTCGTGCCACGGCATTCTCGGGAGTTTTCTCCGGTCTAGCTCATCTATCATCGTTTCTTCCCATGAATTTGGTTCAGATTCTCTGCCAGTAGTTATAACAATTCGTCAGAAAGATGTTTCAGACAATCCTTGTTTGAAAAAGTTCAGAACAATCTTACCTAGGGTTATAGTAATCTTTTCCTGGCCATATATGAGGAGGACAATCTCCAATTTTGTGTTCAGCTGTATCGTATCGGCCGAAACAGAGATCCAACCCTCCGATGAAGCAAACTTGGTAATCTACAATCACTATCTTATCGTGGTGCGACCTAAAACAGCCATAGAATTCAACTTTCCATTAGTTACGTACTGAAAAAGTTAAGCAAATCTGCTGGTTTTGGTTAATACTATACCAGAGGTAAATTCCAGTGGAGATATGGTCTGGATAACGAAGGACTTTGACGTTCTTGTGAATGTTTTGGAGCCGTTTCTTGCTGTACATACTGTTGATCTTCAGCGCAATTTGAACTTCCTTATACAGAAGAATATAAATCTGCAACAAATGTTAGAGTTTTTAGCGCTTGCGTTTATAACAAAACCAATCGAAATGTTGATCTTATGAAGCATTACCTTAACGCCTTGTTTTGCTTTTGTCTCAAGCAATGCATCGAGCCGCAAAGACGGATGATCTTCAAATGGGCGTTTGAGATACAGCTCCGGACATAACCACCAACCGGTCATAAATATCTGCAGACGAAATTTTTAGATTTAAACTTCATTTCAGATCCGATCCTATAATCTTGTGATGAGTCGACAAAGAAAAAGGAACCTCACCTCTGATGTTGCGTTTTGGATTGCAAACGCAATCGCTTCAAACGCAGTGTGACCGTCGACGAACCACTGAGCCTGGCTTCCATCTGATGTCAATCCTCTAGGCGGAGCAAACGAACCAAACCGATGTGGACTGTACAAACCAGCCTCGTCCACGGCCTTAACCCACTCTTTGACTTTCCTGCTGCTCGTCGTTCTCACCTTCACGGTTCGGTCTCCACTTGTAACGTTAAAGCTAAAACGCAATGGGTTGCGTTCCTTCACCTGCTCGGCTAAATGCGGTTGCTCAGAAGACTCTTTCGTATCCTGGAACCCTAATGAGTCGAACACCATTATATCTAGAAGCTTTCCGCTAATTGGATCTTCTAGTAACGCCAAGAATCCTGGTTTCAGAACCGCCCAAACCTGAAAAACATCAAAATCATTCATCCGAGCTTCAGAAAATTTTACAAAAACCTGAGTTTAATATCACCAAACCTTTGTCCAGCTAGCTCCGAAGAAGCCAAGACAATGTGAAGGAAAACAGCATCGGCCACCATCAGAGCCAGTGACTTCCCTCAAGTGCTTCACTGTGACATAACCTTCTTTCATCTTCGAACCGTACTCTCTAGCAAACGAGAGTCTTGAAACTTCAAGGAACTTGCAGACCTGCATATACAATGTTAAGTGTGACGCAAGTAACATGGAAATTACAGTTAGGAAAGTCAGTCATCGCCAAACTCAAACCTCTTTAGAGTTGACAATATCCAAGTTCCCTAGAAAGAGATTCAAGTAGCCTTGCATTGCGGTTCTCCCTCGGTCTACAACTGTCTCTGACCGGCCTATTGTTGGACGGATAATTGACAACACTGCACGCGAAGGAATGTTCCTGCATAACAATATAGAAATCAGATGTTTCAGAAATTTACATGGTCATCAATTCTAGTCGAATACCAAAACCAAAAGGTGTATACTTCTTTAAGCACCTGTTCTTGACACTATCTTCAGTGTAGTGCAGAGGAAGAGCACCATCGTCGGGTTCTTCATCATCTTGCACAACTGATCCTTGCATATCAAAGATCCCCAAGCTGTGCAGCCACTCCCTAACCTGCCCAAAACCGTATTTTTTAGAGTTAAAGAATTTGTTTTATATTGTGTGTGTGTTAGCAAATCTGCAAACCAGGAAGTTCTGACATGTTCATGCTTCTCGTGGAGTTCTTCAATGATCAAACGTTTCTTCAAAGCAAAATGTAGGTATAGGACTTGAGAAGCTTTCTTTTGTAATGTCCACTTGAACTAAACATACAACAAAAACAGAGAAAAACAGAGGATTACAATTTCAATGTCTTTGTTTGTTACTGATCAATACACAACATAAACTCACGAATGAAAACAAAAAAAAATTGCATAATTTCCACTAACCAATTTTTTTTCTTTCAAATTTTATCGCTTCATTGTGATTTCTTTGTCATAAAATATCAAAATTTCTAGACGGAGAAAAAAGGGTAAATCAATGAGACTATGGTCAATTTGGTCATCAAAATTATACCTTGATGACATTTTAACAGAGGAATTTAATCTCTCCTAAATTACAGGTCGACATTGTATGATATGTAATGTATGGTATAGGCGTACCTGTTTATACTGAAGCTCCAAGGTGTAAGAAAGAAGCAAGGGGCTAAAATCGGTGGTGTCCGGTCGCGAGACGGAGACGATCGCAGCCTTCGGGAGCTCGTCAAATATCTTACTTCCGCCGCCGAGAAAATTCGCCGCCGCCGCCGCAGCATCAGCTCCGGAAGTTCTGTTTCTTCTGATGACGCTGTCGGATTTAACGCCGTTCGGGAGGAGCAGTTTCTCCGTCGTCATCGATAAATTCTAAATTCTCCTCACCGTCGTCGAGGCTTTGCCGTGTTTTAGCACGATGGCATGTCCGAAGATACCGATATTCCAATTCTTTCTCAATAATTATGTTTATATATGCTTATATAATACTAGATTATGTCCCGCGTACACGCGGGTTTATTAAACAAAATTTGATCACTTTTTGAATTCATTATATGAAATAGAAAAACTTACATGTGGCTAAATCTAATCGACTCATTAATTTATGAAACTTTGATTATTCCATTGATGAAATCTTTATTTTTAATATTGTTTTACCTAAGAAAAAAAATAGAAACTAAAATATTTAATATTAGAAGATCGGTCCATTATAAAATTTTCTTTTTAATATTTTAGTTCCTTGATAATTATTTTGCCGGTCCTCTATTTATATTGTTTCTTTTTCAATTTTTTTTTTGCCTCTAACCACTATAAATTTTCATTTTTCATTTTTAGTTAGTTGTTTTACAATTATTTTATTAGTTTATTTATTTATGTTATTCCATTTTCCAATTTTTTTTTGTTGACACATTTCATCACCTCATCAAATATTGGATATGATTTTTGATTTCTTAATGAGAAAGAAATTATTTTAAATATAGCTTGTTATATATTGGTTTTAGTTTTCCTTTTCTTAATGGGAATATGATTTTTTTATTCCTTTTTTTACTGGAGGCAATATTTTTTAATTATTTCATTATGTTTTTCTGATTTTTCGTTTTTTTTATTTTTCGTAATAGAATTATATTTTTTCTATACTTTTCTCTAATGGATATTATATTTTTTGTTTAATTGTTTGTTTCCTTTTTTCTGATTTTTCCTAATGTACTATTATGATTTTATTTATTACATTATTTTGAATTTAATATGTGTTTAGATAATATAAATTTGATGAAGGGAAACCTTTTCTATTAGGATATGACAAATATGATTTTGTCTTTTTATTATAATAGAGAAATATTTTTTTAATTTTCCAACTAAACTATTTAATATTAGAGGATTGGTCCATTATAAAATTTTCTTTTTAATATTTTAGTTCCTTGATAATTATTTTGTCGGTTCTCTATTTATATTAATTCTTTTTCAATTTTGTTTTTGCCTCTAACTATTACAAATTTTCATTTTTATTATTAGTTAGTTGTTTTACAATTATTTTATTAGTTTATTTATTTATATTACTCCATTTTTTCAATTTTTCATTTGTTGACACATTTCATCACCTGGTTAAATATTGAATATGATTTTTGATTTCTTAATGAGAAAGAAACTATTTTAAATATAATTTTTTTAGGATTTTTAGCTTCCCACTTTCGAATAACATGTAGTACGGTGATAATTTCCATTTCGATCCAATTGACCTAAAGTCAAATAATCTCCACTGTTATTTAAACTTTCAAAAACATGATTTTAAAATTAGAGAAAGGAAAACAAAGAGATTTGCTGAATTTGCTTTGATGAATTTGTGAATGAGAAAAAAAGAATACAATAGCTCTCTTTTTATAAGGGTTTCATGTAACCAATTTCATACAGTTTTATGATATTTAGTTTACATACCTATTCCATATAGTAATAGGATTTTTTTAATTAGGAGTTTATGTAACATATTCCATACAGTTTTAGGATATTTTGTTATCATACCTATTCCATGTACTAATAGATATTTTTTATTATATTATTTTCAATTTATTATATAAATTTTCGTTTTTATTATAAAATATTAAACTTTTCTCTTTAAATATTTTTTTTTCCTTTTTTAAGACATGTGTCACCATGTTAACGGATGTAACATTAAAAGTGACACATATCGTAATCATATATTTTATAAAAATCCTACGTGTCGCAATCACATTGTGTCCATCCAGATTTATATAATAAGATATATACACGCATGTGGTTAAGTAAGGTTTTATATCTGCCTGGCAAATAGTAGATTCAACGGGAAGAGGAGTGGTTCCGTTACGTTAGGTTATACGGATGTCTCCGGTTGCGTCGTGAGATGATGACACGTAGTATTATTGCCACGTGTACGTTTACGATCGAAGGTTTATGCTAACTCCCGTCTACCCTTTGCCGTGTATTTGCAATCGTTTCCAAGTTGTACATGAGACTCAGACCAAGTAGTGTAATGACGAATTTACCCTTAGACTCTTCCTTGCTTAAAATAATTCTTGAGTTGAATATTACTGAAAAATGAAAAGAGTAACACAAAAATAACCTGAAAGAATTAAAATCTTCTAAGTTCTAACAATAAATATCGGAAAACTAAAATAAAGTCATTCGTATAAAAATATCTTTACCGTCAATCATGCAGATTGCAGATGACGCAATCAGTGTTGATCTCTCCGGTTATGTTAGATTTGGTATGAATGGGCAATTTTGTCTTTGTCTATACGATAGTTCAAACTTCGAAGTATATGCCATGCAAGCATCATCAAAGGACGAGAATATCCTAATTCTTTTTGTGCTATACCAGATCAGAATATTCCCAAAAACACTTATTATATTCGTATAACATGTGGTGAGGCCAAAATGATTAGTGCCTCCACTTTTGATCATCTGATTAAATCCTGACAAATAGATACTATGGTACATGATCTAGAAATTTCGTTGTCTGGCTTTTTAAAACTACTATTTTATTTAATCCTTCGTGTAAACTACAAAACCTTAATAATTAGCGTATACGCATCAACATAGTCATTAAAACTCATCTCTTCAAACAACGTATATACTACGGATTTTCTGCAGAAAATTATCGTTCACCTAAGCCAAACAAAATTAAATCAAACGATATATGGGCCAATGTAAAACTTTAACATAGATAGCTGATAGAAACTTTGAATCCATCACTTTCATAGATATGTGTTTTCGCTTTCATCATCCCAGTAATGATAATTGGTAAGAAAATATCAACAAATGTACCATTGGCCATTGCAATCACTAGTTTATGTGAATCATATTCCAAAACGGCAGTGTTTTCTGCTTATTTACATTCTTCTTTAGGTTCTATAAAAAAAGCTCGAAAATTAGAAACGGAGGTCCAACTATTAATTGGGCTAAAATTTCACAAATTTGGCCTTAGAAAAATATGAATGTACGGCTCCAAGAAACCATGAACCGATTCAAACAAAACCGGAGCTCCAGTTTCTACAAAGGCAGTGAACTTTAGCCAGTGAAGCCATATAATCATCAAACCTGAAATAAATTTGAATGAAAAATCATCAAAAACGCTAAACCGATTCATCTTGATTACTTTAACTTTGTCACAGGGATTCAAACCTCTGCCCATATGGAGATCCACAAGCCGCGGTTATATGAAACTTTGCATTTTCTGATTTACCCTACAACAAGAATCAGACAAGAAACTTAAAAAGATTGTTGCTTGTTCTTGAAAAACAGTAGACTTCTGCAAAGATTGTGTTTGAGAAATTCACGATCAAGAGCATACCTCAGCTTCATAGTAGAGCCCTGCATACAGCGACGCATAGAAGTAATCACTCGCTTGACCGCTCGAGAAGTCATTAACTAACTGTTTGTCAGAAACAACAAAATTAAGATAGTTTGTTGGAATAAAATCATGAACATCAATTATCAAGAAACATGTCTCCAAAAACCTTTTCAGGATCACCACCGCTCTTGAATAGGTTATAAGCTTCCCGCATCACAGGCCGAGAATCTCTACCAACCTACAAAAGATGGTTCTAAAAAGTCTCATATCTTGACTTTGTCACTGATCAGGTAATAATAAGCTTTATGATAAGGTAAAAGAAACACAAACCTGAAGAAACTGTTTTCGTGCAATATCAACACCGTGGAGTCGAGCCTCGCAGAGAAAGCACCAAATCGACTCCTCTGTGTCATTTGGGTTCTGAGCAACATCTAACCGGAACTGCTCTGCACCGTCTTCAAACCTGTTGGTTATATGCACAACATTTCATTGCTTCATCACAGAGAAAGGAGGCAATTTTCTACACTTGTAGAATCAACTCAAATCCGTAAGAAGAGACAATGAGTACCTATCCAGATAGTAAAGAGAAAGCCCGCGTTGCCAAAGATCTATCATCAAAGCAAATGTTAGTAGCACTGATGAAGCCTAAAGTCTAAGGATTTGAATCAAATTTTCAAACTTTCCAGAAAATTGAGGTTGTAAGATAAACGACAGAGCACATAAAACTTACATGCCTTTTGCCGAGGATCCAACACGATAGCTTTGTCGAACTCTGTCACCGATCCAGACACATCACCCTTTCACACAAACATTTCAAATTTCAAATTCTTATTTAAAAAGGGTTTCTTTTGTTAGAACAAATTTGTTTGTCGGATTCTTTTTTTCCAATTTAACCTTTTTGAAAAGCTGCATTCCGTTTCGAACCGCTGCAATGGCTTCGCGGGGGTTCGAGTCGCCGCCTCCTGTTATGGCATCCCAAATCGAGCAAACAGAAGTAAGGAAGAGTCTGCGAGAGAGTGCGTGTGGTGGGTGGCGAGAAAATTGGGGGTTTATGGTTTTAAAAGGCGATATCACCATGAAACGCCGTGGAATTGTCGGAGATGGATACATGGTGGGATTCACGATCTGGTTTAGTGCCATTGATGATGGAAGCTGAAAAATTTCTCCGAATCAACGCGACGATTACAGTTTCTCTAGGGATTAGTGGATTCTCGATTGGACACTTCACCAGTGTTTCCAGAAGATAAGATGACGATGACAAATGGGAGGGAAGAGATGCAGAGGCACAAACCGGAAATTCCCGGTTTGGTTATTCGCTTTGATGAACCAATCGGTTATTTAAATACGGTAAGTAGTTTTCGTTCGTCTACAAGTAATTTTATTGACCGGGTTTATCTATTCACCATGCGCTGTACCGGTTGTTTTCCGTCATTCAATCGGTTTAATTAAAATTGCATCGGTTCTGAATAATATCTGTACCGGTCAACGCCGGTGGGAGCGTGTGCAAAAGTCTCCTTTGTCGCCAGAAGCAGAATCTAAAGTTTATAGAGCAAAACAAAGAGCTTTGGCAAAGTGAAGAAAGAATCACTTTGGCTTGAGAAAAGAGTAAAAAAATAAAGTTTGAATTTGTTGGGAAAGAACATTTCTTCACAAACAATCAATACCTAAACCTCATCCCTAGATTTCTTCTATATGTATGGCTTCATTCTTTCCCCTCTTCATTTCTTTTGCTAACCTAAACCCAAAACCCAAAACCGGATATCAAAAAATGGGCATGACCGGGTTTATCACCTCTCTTCTCTTACTTATGATGCTTATGTTCGTTAACGCATCCGAAACCACAACCTTCAAGCCATACAAAGAAGGAATCTTTCGGTCTCTTGTCGCGAAAGCGTGCCAATTTATCGATGCTCACGAGACGTGCGTCTCAAACATCCGGACGCACATCGAGAAATCGGGTCACGGTTTAAACCCACATTCGGTTTTAAGCGCTGCGGTGAAGGAAGCACACGACAAAGCCAAGTTAGCAATGGAGCGAATCCCAACCGTCACGACGTTGTCTTTCCGTTCCCGTGAGCAGATTGCAGTTGAGGATTGTAAAGAGCTTGTAGGCTTCTCCGTGACGGAGCTAGCGTGGTCGATGTTGGAGATGAACAAACTCCACGGAGGAGAAGGGATAGACGGTGGCTCACACGACGCTGCTGCAGCAGGAGGCAACCTTAAAACATGGCTAAGCGCGGCTATGAGTAACCAGGACACGTGTCTTGAAGGGTTTGAAGGAACAGAAAGAAAGTACGAGGAGTTGATCAAAGGTAGCTTAAGACAAGTCACTCAGCTCGTGAGCAATGTCCTAGACATGTATACGCAGCTCAATGCCTTGCCCTTCAAGGCATCTAGGAACGAGAGCTCCATAATGAGTCCTGAGTGGCTCACGGAGCCCGATGAGAGCCTCATGACGCGTCTCAACCCCAACGTAGACGCGGTTGTGGCGGTAGATGGAAAAGGGAAGTATCGGACGATTACTGAGGCCATCAACGAGGCTCCAAATCATAGCACAAAGAGATATGTTATATACGTGAAGAAAGGTTTGTATAGAGAGAATATTGATATGAAGAAGAAGAAAACGAACATTATGCTTATGGGTGATGGTATTGGACAAACGATCATTACCGGTGACCGGAATTTCTTGCAGGGTCTTACCACTTTCCGAACTGCAACCGTTGGTTAGTATTAATATTAGACTAGTACTTAATTATGATTAACTAAGTCTTTGATTGATTATTAACCTTTTTGTACTTTTCTCACTTTTTGGTTTTTGTCAACTTTTATTGATTTATTCGTGTCTGAAAATCAGACAGCATTTCGTGATTTTATAGGTTTTTTCCTTATAATATATCCCTTTCTTGTGCTACAAACATCTACGATCTAATTAACTATCTACTATAATATTAGTTATTGATTGATTGATTGATTGATCTTTTTGTTACCTTTTGTTCTTTTCTCTCTTTTTGGTTTTGGTCAAATTTTGTTTATTAGTGTTTCAGAAAATCAGAAGAAGACATATATTCTCTTTGCTTTCTGCAGTCGGAAGACTTAGCTTTTTACATTCTTTTCTTATAATTCATCCCTTTCTTGTGCTATAAGTAACTACTTATTCTAGATACTTTTGTTATCTATCTCTACTAATTAGACTAACCCTTAATCTGGGTTTGATCAGCTGTCTCCGGAAGAGGATTCATAGCAAGGGACATAACTTTCAGAAACACGGCCGGTCCGCATAACCGTCAAGCTGTCGCATTGAGGGTCGATTCCGATCAATCCGCTTTCTTCCGATGTAGCATGGAAGGTTACCAAGACACTCTCTACGCACATTCCCTTCGTCAGTTCTATAGAGAATGTGAAATCCATGGTACGATCGATTTTATATTCGGAAACGGTGCCGCGGTTTTACAGAACTGTAAAATCTACACCCGAGTTCCGTTACCGCTCCAGAAGGTAACGATAACCGCGCAAGGGAGAAAAAGCCCTAACCAGAACACAGGGTTTGTAATCATGAACAGTTACGTGTTGGCTACGCAACCTACTTATCTTGGCCGGCCATGGAAACTCTACTCAAGAACGGTTTACATGAATACTTACATGAGCCAGCTGGTCCAGCCAAGAGGATGGCTTGAGTGGTTTGGTAACTTTGCTTTGGACACGCTATGGTATGGCGAATACAATAATATTGGGCCGGGTTGGCGGTCATCGGGTCGGGTTAAATGGCCTGGTTATCATATCATGGACAAACGGACTGCAATGTCCTTCACCGTTGGATCGTTCATTGACGGCCGGAGATGGCTTCCGGCAACAGGTGTCACGTTCACCGCTGGTCTAGCTAATTAACTTAAGTACTAATTTAAATTTTACTGTTAAGAGTGATACATTACAATTCGGGCAGATAAAACCGTGAATAAGGAGGATCCCTATACTGTTTGTGATATGTGAATGTGTTTTATTAAACATTCATGTACAACAATTTTTAGTTTCATTCGTACCTCGTTTTAAATAAAACTGAATCAATCTATATTCTATAAGTTGTTGACGAAATCTTTCAATGTTTTCGTGCCGTTAAATTTATTCGGATGTACAAAGAGTCAAAGACACACTTTATCCGGAAGTTCTGAACATAAATAAAGAACATAAACAATGATGGAAGTCACTGAGTTTAAGATAAAAATAGAGACCCTAAAACAACATAGCCTTGGATATTGGCAGGGCAGTGATTTGCTATTAATAAGTTAAACTAGTAGAGTACCCGCGCAAACACGCGGTGTGACGGTACGATTTTGTGAAGATAATATAAACTTTAAATCCGAGCCCAACCCAAAAACCCTAATCAAAATTTTTAAAAACCCAAACCTTTTTAATATGTCTAAACCCGAAAACCCAAAATCAAAAAAATCCTGAAAACCCTGAACCGAATAAAACAAACCTGAAACTTTTTCACCCGAAACCCGACCCGACCTATAAAACCCTAATAAAAATTTTAAAATACCCAAACTTTTTTAATATGTCTAAAGCTGAAATCCAAAAATCCGGAAAACCCTGAACTAAACCCAGAAAAACTCGAACCCAAACCGAATAAATTTAAAAAAAACTCGAACAGAAATCCACAATTTGATTTAAATTAGAAGTATTTCTATTTAACTATTGGATATTTTGCAAATATTATTCGATCATATTCTATTGATTTGGTATTATCGATAGATTATGTTAATTTTTATTTTTTGCAGATTTTTTAAGAGCTTGAAAACGGAAGTTTTCTAAACCATCGGTTTGTTTTAAGTTATTATTCTTGTATCCAAACAATGTTTTCCATTTATTCTTTTATCCAAATAGATTTTTCTCTTATTCTTGTATCCAAATATTTTTTCTTTCCATTTATTCTTCTATTCAAATAGGTTTTTTTTTTATTCTTGTATCCAAACATTAGAATGTACTTCTCAATTAATAATATAAAGATAATAACACAACAAGTAGATCATTTAAGGATTGGACTTCATATTAGATGTCCTTTCCATGCTCTCATCCACTATTCATATTTCCAAGTCCTGACAAAAAGAGAAAATTATTCAGCAATATGACATTTCAATTATTGAGTAGTGGATCTGCCACTGTAGTCATATAAGATGAATTAAGAATTCTCTCTCTGACAAAGACATGCAACTTTAGCTTAGCTGTTGATGATCCAAACAGTAATATAAAAGATGTTGAGATACTTGTTAACAAGGCCGAAAACCATACCTTAAAAAAATCTTTTTTGCCGGTCTACAGAAGATGGGATAGTTCTCGCCTTTTTGGAAGCCACGCCAAACCTTAGCTTGATACTCGACAAGATCTCCATCAGGTTCCTCTCTAGCCATAAATGTGATGTAACACCTTGATTTAGGTCCTTTTGAATACAGACCCCTCACCGCTTCCACAAACTCCACACTCTTTCCCTTGGAAAAGAAAACAAGAAAACAAATTTTGCTAAATGTTAGCTTAAAGGTGTATATGTATAATAAAAGTACAAAGAGAAACAAATGTATTAGGTTGTAACTAAAACCTCTTTCTCGTTGTATATTCCGAGACAGAGGCAGGCCATCTCTGCAAAGTACTCGCGCCAGGTTTGATCGTGACCGTTAGAGCTCTCCAAACTCTCCGAATCACATACTGCTAAACACAGAGAACAAAACAAGCCTAGTTAATTAGATTTACTCTAATATCCAGCTAACTCATTCTATTCCACTCAATTTATAAGTTGAACTCTTTAAACAAAAAATATAGGTTTCAAAGTTCAACCTTGGACTCGATGAGCTGGCGTGCACAGAGGCGCAATAGTTTTTCATGCTCTGGATCCTCAAAATATTTCACCGGTGGAGAGGTACAACCCTCGAAGCTGTCCTCACCCCATTCAGGGTCGGTCCACCCCGTCGCCTGTAAGGGCGGGTCCTCAACGTATTCCTTCTTATCAACGCTCTCTTCCATCTCCTCCGCCGGCTCGGACTTGGCCTTACGCTTCGCTGCGTGTCTCTTGAAACCTATTGTTTTCGATGATTACCCGTAAACCCTAGTCAGTTGCCTTTCTTCTTATCTCTTAATTCTTCCTCTTTCTTTTTTCTTGTAATAATATGATGCTTTTGATTCTATTTATATAGTTGTGATTCTAAACAAAAATAATAATAAGTTAACATTTCCTAGCATCATAATTTCCTTTTCCCTTTGCTTCTCTTCTTTTCCTTTTTTTTTTTATAATAATTCTGTTTTTGACTAATAATTTGTTTTGTTTTTTTTTTTTGCTTTTTCTTCTATTATCTCTATCTACCTGCATGACAAACCCAACCCACTTTCTATTCGTATCATTTACCTATTATTACAACACATTCTTTCTCCACACTATATTCAGATCAAAAATCCAAATGACATGCATGTAAAGCACATTACAACATATTGATTTATGTGCATTATAATTTTAACGAGAAAATTGAGAGTGCATGTAAATTCAGGTCCTCCTTCTTGAACATGATGTATGCAAAAAGACGTCGAGCTTTTCACTTCTAGTTTCTTAGGTCACAAGAAACATTGAATACCACATACTGTATACATTATTCTACACAAAACGACGATTTACTAATCGACTTTAATAAAACGACGTTATGCGGCGTATATTAGTGAGACGTCAACCTTTTCACCTTTTCAGTTTTACTTTCTTAGTTCACAAGAAACATTGAATACCATCGGCTTTTTGCAATCAAGATTCTAGAGTTTTTTTTCCATACATTTATCCCTTTCTTGTACTATCTAATTAATTATACATTGATTGATTAATCTTTTTGTTAACTTTTTGTTCTTTTCTCTCTTTTTGGTTTTAGTTAAATTTTGTTTATTGGTGTTTCAGAAAATCAGAAGAAAAACATATATTCTCTTGCTTTCTGAAATCTGAAATTTTAAAAAGCTTTTTCCAGTCTTTTTATATAATTCATCCCTTCCTTGTTCTATAAGCAACTACTGCTTCTAGTTTACAAACACTTAATTAATCAATAAATATAAAGAACATAAACAATGACGGAAGTCATTAATGAGTTTAAGAAAAAAAATAGAGGACTATAAACATCATATTCATAGCCTTAGATATTGGCACTTTGGCAGGGAAGTGATAAAGTATTAAGTAAAGTTATAACACAACAAGTAGATCATAAAACCATTGGACTTCATATTATGTGTCGTTTCCATGCTCTGCATCCACTATTCATATTTCCAAGTCCTGACAAAGAGAAAGAAATCAATTTTCAGAAATTTGACCCTTAATTTATTAAGTAGTGGATCTGCTTATATAAGATAAAATAAGAATTCTGTAACTGACAAAGACATGCAACTTTAGCTTAGCTGTTGATGATCCAAAACATATAAAAGATGTTGGGATAGTTCTTAACAAGGCCGAAAACCATACCTTAATAAATATTTTTTGCCGGCCTACAGAAGATGGGATATTTCTCGCCTTTAACGAAGAAGGTACACAAAACCTTAGCTTGATACTAGACAGGAGGTCCATCAGGTTTCTCTCTAGCCATAAATGTAATGTACGACTTTGATCTAGGTCCTTTTGAATAAAAACCCCTCACCACTTCCACAAACTCCACACTCGATCCCTTTAAAAACAAAAAAAAAATTGGTGTATATGTATAATGATATAAATAGACAAAGAGGAACAAATGTAGTAGTAGGTTGTAACCAAAACCTCTTTCTCGTTGTATGTTTTGAGACAGAGGCAGGCCATCTCTGTAAAGTACTGGCGCCGGGTTTTATTGAAACCCGTAGAGCTGTCCAAACTCTCCGAATCACAAACTGGTACGAGTTTTGTGTAGGTGGCCCATGGAATAAGCTCTGGCTCCAAGTAAAACCCCTAAACAAAGAGAACAAAACAAGCCTAGTTAACTAGATTTACTCTATTATCCAGCTAACACATTCTATTCCACTCAATTACAATAAGTTGAAAGTTTCTAGATCTATGGATTTTGCTCTCTTTAAAAAAAAAAAAAAAAGGTTTCAAAGTTCAACCTTGGACTCGATGAGCTGGCGTTCACAGCGGCGCCATAGCCTTTCATGCTCTGGATTCACCAAAAATTGCTCCGGTGGAGAGTTATAACCTCGACCCTCGGAGCTGTCCTCACCCCATTGAGGGTCGGTCCACCCAAAAGGGGAGTCCTCAACGTCTTCCTTCTTATCAACGCTCTCTTCCATCTCCTCCGCCGGCTCGGACTCGGCCTTACGCTTCGCTGCGTGTCTCTTGAAACCCATTGTTTTCGATTACCCGTAAACCCTAGTCAATTGGGAACGATAATTTTTTTCAAGGATTTCTCTTTTAAACCTTTCTTCTTATCTCTTAATTCTTCTTCCTCTTTCTTTTCTTTGTGATAATATGATGCTTTTGATACAATTGTGAGCCTAAGATTCTCTATTTATATAGTTGTGATTCTGATAAAAAAAGAAAAATAATAAGTTAACATTTCCTAGCATCATAATTTCCTTTTTCCTTTGCTTCTCTATTTTTCCTTTTTTTTCATAATTATCTTTTGACTAATTTTATTTGTTATTTGATTTCCTTTTTGTTTTCTTTTTGCCTTTCTTCTATGATCTCTATCTACCTGCATGACAAACCCAACCCAATTTCTATTCGTACCACTATTATTACAACACATTCTTTCTCCATAACAGATTTAGATTAAAAATCCAAATGGTATGCATGTAAACACATTACAACATGTATTGATATATCATATATGTGACATTATTATTTTAACGAGAGAACTGAGAGTGCATGTAAAATTCAGGTCCTCCTTCTTGAACATGATGTATGCAAAAAAGACGTCGACCTTTTCACTTTTAGTTTCTTAGGTCACAAGAAAGATTGAATACCACATATACATAGAGTGTTATTAAAAAATTGATGTGTACGTATTTTCATCTTCTAAAACCGTAATTTATGTACGTAGTTATAATAATCTATCAACAAAGTTATAATGGGGAAAACTCCATATTCACAATCACAACTGTAACCAGCTAACAAAATCTGTAGATGCATGTTATAAAACACGATTAAGACACTGATATAATCCGGTAGAGAAAACAAACAAACAAAAGATGAGTATTCGAATCCCTAAAATAAGATTTATAATTTCCCAATTTAGAAACTCAGAAAGAAACAGAGAAATACAAGAAACTACCACAAACCTATTTTTTGTCTTATCAATGGTTTTCTCACTAGCCGAGTTTATCGCCAAGCCTCAGAAAACAGAGAGCAAACCAGAATAACGAAATCTTAATTTGTCCTTTCCGTTATAAATAATCCATCTCGACAGTTATGAAAAATTACACACTCCCAAGGAGGCTACGTAACCTTCGAAGGAGGAGTCCATAAAACTCAACAAATCTCTGTTTCATAGCAAGAACAACGAACAGCTCTAATCTTTTAAAAACAATATTTCTTAAGAGCTGTTCGAGTTCTAAAACAATTTGGATAAATAGTAGAAAATAAGTTGAACGGAAAAACACACGTAATAATATGTCGTACGGATACGACGATGACTCGAAGAGGAAGAGGAGGTATGTTGTTATCTCAATCTCCTCCGTCCTTCTCATCTCCATGGTTGTCGCCGTTACCGTCGGCGTCACGCTCAACAAGAACGAAGCTAAAGCTGACGCCGAAGAGGGAAAGATAACGGCTTCCGTCAAGGCCGTCAAGGACGTTTGTGCACCCACGGATTACAAGAAGACATGTGAAGACAGTCTGATCAAGAACGCGAACAACACAACCGACCCCATGGAATTGATCAAGACGGCGTTTACCGTCACGATGAAGCAGATCACAGACGCGGCCAAGAAGTCGCAGACGATGATGGAGCTTCAAAAGGATCCAAGGACGAGGATGGCGCTTGATCAATGCAAAGAGCTTATGGATTATGCGTTAGGCGAGCTTACCAACTCTTTCGAGGAGCTTGGCAAGTTTGAGTTCCACAAGCTCGACGAGGGTTTGATCAATCTCAGGATTTGGCTCAGCGCGGCGATTAGCCACGAGGAGACTTGTCTTGAAGGGTTCCAAGGGACGCAAGGGAACGCAGGAGAGACGATGAAGAAAGCCTTGAAGACAGCTATGGAGTTGACTCGCAACGGGCTTGCCATCATCACCGAAATGTCGAACTACTTGGGCCAAATGGATATTCCTGGGCTGAACAGCCGAAGGCTTCTGGCTGACGATATCCCCTCGTGGGTGGACCAGAGAGGGCGTAGCCTCTTGCAGGCCGCTGAAGCGTATTCGGACGCGAAACCTGATATCGTTGTGGCTCAGGACGGTAGCGGTCAGTACGCGACGATCAACGAGGCGTTGATGCACGTCCCGAAGAAGAAGAACACGACTTTCGTGGTTTACATTAAGGCTGGAATCTACCAGGAGTACGTCCAGGTGAACAAGAGCATGACCCATCTCGTGTTCATCGGTGATGGTGCCGAGAAAACCGTCATTACCGGAAACAAGAGTTACAAGGACGGTATCACTACCTACCGTACATGCACCGTTGGTACGATATATTTGATGACTTTTTTAACACGTTAGGTTAGAAAGTTTTAGAAGTTAACGTAATGGTTATTGCATTTGCAGCGATCGCTGGAAACCATTTCATTGCCAAGAACATCGGGTTCGTTAACACCGCTGGGGCAATCAAGCATCAAGCAGTTGCGATTAGGGTTCAGGCAGATGAGTCGATGTTCTTCAACTGTAGGTTCGATGGTTACCAAGACACGCTCTACACTCATTCCCACCGTCAGTTCTACCGTGATTGCACCATCTCAGGCACCATTGATTTCATATTTGGAGACGCGGCTGCTGTATTCCAAAACTGCACTTTGTTGGTGAGGAAGCCACTCCCGAACCAGGCATGTCCGATTACAGCCCACGGTCGTAAAGACCCTAGGGAAGTAACCGGATACGTGTTCCAAGGTTGCACAATTGCCGGCGAACCGGATTACTTGGCAGTGAAGGCAACTAGCAAAGCCTATCTTGGAAGGCCATGGAAGGAGTTCTCAAGGACTATTATTATGAACACTTTCATTCCGGAGTTCGTGCAGCCACAAGGATGGCAACCGTGGCTCGGAACCTTCGGTCTAGACACGTTGTTCTACTCCGAAGTCCAGAACACAGGACCGGGGTCAGGCCTTGCAAACCGGGTTACTTGGCCAGGAATCAAGAAACTGACCGACGAAGAAATCCTCAAGTTCGCACCGGATGTGTTCATCCAAGGTAACATTTGGGTTCCAGGCAAAGGTGTTCCCTACACTGGTGGCCTTATGGCTGGCAGCACAGGTGCCGCAACCACCACCCCGAGTGGCGCAGCTGCTCCAGGTTTCTCCACCTACACGGACACAAGTGGCGCTGGCTCGATTTCTCCAGCAGCTTCTCCAGCATCTTCTCCAGCATATTCTCCATTAGCCTCTCCAGCAGCCTCTCCAGTAGCTTCCCCGGAAGGTTCTATTAAGATGGCTTCATCAGCTTCCCCGGAAGGTTCTATTAAGATGTCTTCAGCAGCTTCCCCGGAAGTTTCTATTAAGATGGGCTCAACGGAAGAGACCCCCATTATCTTGATCTCAAAGTCTACCTAAAAGATCGACTAAGATATTATATAATGTGTTTTTTCGTACTCTTATTCAAGATTATCTGAAGAAAAAGAAAACTTTGCACAATCTTGAGGACTTCAGGACTATTGATCTACCAAATTGTTGAGATTCATGTTTAGCTTTGTAAACTCACGTTTAATGTCACAGTACATTAATAATGTTGTTTATAAACCAATTATCATTCTCATTATGTAGAAATTAGTTCACTAGTAGTATATATATGCGCTAGCTGCTTCAAAGAGTTTTCTTTTCCATCCACTTATCCTCTACAACATCAAAATTCTTCATCAACAGATGGTTTAATTAAAAATAATATTGGAGGAAAAAAAATGGCTAAGAGTAGCTCTTTTTTTCTTTCTCATGAACCACATTAATAGTTTGATACCGATATATACATTGTAAAAATTACTAAGAAATAGTAATTTTTAGAAAATGTCAATTAATGGAGGCATCTAAAGAAAGTGGCTTCCCAAGGCAATTTTGCATGCACACAATCGCAACAACCCGTAGCTCTATTTTTACTCCTCTGCATTTACTTCTCCTTCACCTCCATATGGTTCTTCGCCTTCACCAATTGGGGAAGTCTCTTCTTTTGAGAAGCACCATTTTTAAATAGTTTCTTCAGAAACATTTTAAAGATTATATTCTGACAACGTTATAAATTTTTAAATAAATATCATCAACTATTTTGTGCTATAAACAACTTGTTTTTTTTTCTGGTAAAACTCATATAACAACTTTTAAATACTACTTTCTCTAGTATTTTATTGGTGGAAGCTTTAATGGTTATCTCACCAGTGATGTCCCCACTGAGTTCTCTGTTATTAATACCACAACCAAACCCACTCGTTACACAGCTAAACGCAAAAACGCACTCATAGATCCAACAGAAGAAGAAAAAAAGTAGAAGGAGAAATGGAAGGAATCGATCATAGAATGGTGAGCGTCAATGGCATAACAATGCACATTGCCGAGAAAGGTCCCAAAGATGGATCATTGGTGCTTCTCCTCCATGGATTCCCTGATCTCTGGTACACGTGGCGTCACCAAATTAGTGGACTAGCATCTCTTGGTTACCGAGCCGTAGCTCCAGACCTCCGAGGCTACGGAGACTCCGACGCGCCGGAGTCCTTCTCCGAGTACACGTGTCTTAACGTCGTTGGTGACCTTGTGGCTCTTCTGGACAGTGTTGCTGGAGATCAAGAGAAGGTGTTTCTCGTCGGTCATGATTGGGGAGCCATTATTGGATGGTATCTCTGTTTGTTTCGACCAGAGAAGATTAAGGGCTTTGCGTGTTTGAGTGTGCCGTATAGACCAAGAAACCCTAAGGTCAAGCCTGTTGAAGGGTTTAAGGCTGTCTTTGGAGATGATTACTACATTTGTAGATTTCAGGTTTTGCATTTTGATATTTTCTCATTTGAAGTTGCTTTTCACTTTTTTTTAATCTTCACACCGTACTAATCAAGTAAAATCGAGTCGTAATATCTAGTCAATAGAGTGAAATCATTTAACTGACACGCATTGATTTTTGTCCAATTTGTGGATTTGCAGGAACCGGGGAAGATTGAAGAAGAGATTGCATGTGCAGATCCAAGAAGAGTACTGAGGGATATCTTCACAGGGAGGGCACTAGGTCCACCGATTTTACCAAAGGATAATCCCTTTGGCGCAAACCCTAACCCTAACGGCGAAAACATTGAATTGCCGGAATGGTTCTCTAAAGAGGATCTCGATTTCTACGTCTCCAAATTCGACAAGACAGGATTTACCGGCGGATTAAACTACTACAGAGCCATGGATCTGTAAGCGCTTAATATATATAAATGAGTACTTCGAGGTTTATGTAATAAGATTGGGTTATTATTGGTTATTATCAGGAGTTGGGAAGTTACTGCACCATGGACCGGAGCTAAGATTTATGTGCCGGTGAAGTTCATAACCGGTGACTTTGACATGGTGTACACCACACCAGGGATTAAAGAGTACATCCACGGTGGTGGATTTGCTGCAAATGTTCCAAATCTCCAAGAGATAGCTGTGATTGAAGATGCTGGTCACTTCGTCAACCAAGAGAAACCTCAAGAGGTCACTGCCCACATCAATGACTTCTTCACCAAGCTTCAGGACAACTACTAAATCTTCTAGCGTTCTTGTTTTAATTCTACTAAACAATTAGGTTCTTCTATGTTTCTTCGACGAGTTTATGAATAAGATTTGACTATATTAAGCATCAGCTTCAAAATTACAAGATTTCGCTGTATAGGTACCATTGCTTAGACCAATACCAAAATTTTCATGACTCATGAGCTCTTTAGACTTGAGATGAAATAATAAGGATGAAGTCAAACATAGTAAAGCTCAAAGTGTAATAAGAACACAATGAATCCAAAAGTAGAAACAAGCTTAAAATAAAGTCTGAAACAGGCGACAAAAGCCACAATTCTCTAACAAAAAAAAGGATTACGAAGCAACAGTACTCCAGGAACAAGTTCAAAGACGATGACAATCTTCTTAAACCTTGAATCCACGACTCTTCCTCTTTCCTCTGGCCCTCTCGAACTTCCTTCCGTTGTGACGAACATATGGCTTTGTGGTACTGCCTGGAACACCAGGAGCAGGACCGAAATGCTTCACAGCTTCACGAGAGTTCTTAGGTCCTCTAAGGAGAACCTATCATACACAAGAACAAGTCAAGTTAAACACATTTTCACACAACAAAGTGAAAGTGAAAGAAGAAACGTTTGGTAAAGAGATTTACCGTGTTCTGTCCCAATGGAGCCCTGAGAGCGAGTTGATCAAAGGTCAAGCACTCTCCACCGGCTTTCTCAATGCGAGCTCTGGCTCTCTCTGTGAACCTCAAGGCAGTGATTTTGATTGCTGGAATCTCTTGAATCCTCACATCATCGGTTATTGTTCCAACCAAGACACCAATCTTACCTTCCTATTAAATACCAAAACCATGAAAAAGCACATTCAAAACTCATAGCATAGAGAGTTTCAATCAACCAATGCAGACTAACTTCTGATAAACTGGTTCTACAGAAATGGAACTAATTTCAGCATAAATGTACTAAAAGAGAGAGAGTTTCAACGAAATGTAACCTTGCCGGCCATGAATTCGGCGAGTCTAGATAGAGAAAGAGGAGCTTTGTTGACTTTGCTCATGAAGAGCCTCTTCAATATCACTGCATTGAACTTGCTCTGTGTTCTCCTTACCAAAAACCGGTAAAGCTGCAAAATTTCAAAACACAAAACGAAATCTCAGATTCTGTATGATTCATACACATAAATCGAAAAGGAAAAAAGCAAAGATTGTTGTTAAAGTTTTGACCTTGACAGTGAGCTTGAGGTAGACATCGTCGGACTTGGGAGCTGTCCTTCTGGTCTTCTTGCTCTTACCTCCAGCGATCAGATCAATACCCTGAAAAAACACCACGAATTGATCTCAGAATCAACCATAGGAAGCGAGATTCAACCTCAAAATACTAAAAGGGAAAGAACAAAAGGTTCACACTTTATCCCAAAACTCAAAATGTCACTAAGAAATCCAAATTCAGAGAATTCACTCAAACACATATCTCACATTCGGAACATAGAACCTAAACTCGACAGTGAAACTCTAAACCAAGCTCGAAATTTACAAGAGACAGATTAAGAAACGGAGACAGAGAAAGCAGACGTACCATAGCTGCCTCCGGGATGTGTGCCGCCGCGGTGGAATCTCTGAAGGAAAAGAGAAGACTGATAGGGTTTATAACGATTTATAGTACACACTCTCTTCATTTTTAGGGTTTCTTATTTCCACTATGGGCCCAAATGGTAAACCCAATAAGTGTTTTAAGAGGAATCCTTTGGGCTTTAGTTAGAGGCCTTGTTTATTACACAATGTTATTTATTTGTTAACACGTACAATGTTATTCATTTGTTAACACGTTTTGACTATAGTTTTCTACACGATATTAATACTCTCTTACCAAAATCAAATTTTCATTTTTCTTTGAGAAGCTTTTGTATTAATCTTCATAAGAAAGTGACGAAAAAAAAAAATCTTCACAAGAAAGTGCTTAGGAAAAGAATTGAACTATTTATTAAATGCGTATAGTTGTTACTGCCGTACGTAAATGAAAATAGAGACTGCTTACTTTGACCAGTTCCAATGAGAATCGCACACGTCTCATTGTTTTTTGGTTGGATTCTTCTTCCATCCATCACCGTCCGTCCACTACTGGCTTATTCTTGCCTTTGAAGGTTTCACTAATTACTTTTTCTTCGCTCTTTCCCGTTTATAATGAGATTTGACATCTTCCTCCTTTATAATCACTTTCTTTACTTCTCTCGACAAAACAACATCATTTTCAGTACGTAATTCATTGGATCCGTTAAATTATCATTTCATACAAGTCTACCTAATGTCCATTAGATGTTTAACTTAATACATAAACAAAGTCAAATTTACTATGATGAACAAATGGTTCCAAATCAACTTGTTTCATTTCTAGTTCTAATTATGCCTAATTGCCGCCAAAAAGAAATAAACAATGCCTAATGACATTTTGACCGACTACATGTAATCAATTGCCATTAAAAAACAGAGTTGAAAATATTTCTGGCAGGAGGAGAGAGAAGAGGACGACCTATCAGCACCATCTGTTTCTGTTTATCTCCCCCTCATATTCTAAAGCTGTAATCTTTTTTTCCTCTTCTGAACCAAAAGAAAAATTTGTAATCTTTAATCCCGATTTGTGCTATTATAATCTTTGCCCAATTGATCCACTTTCCTCCTTTGAGTTTTTAAGATTCTTTTCTGGTTTCCCCCTCTGTTTCGTCTCTTTCCTTTCTCTCCCCTTTCCCGCATTTTCTTGGGAAAATTTAAGAAAAAAACAAGCTTGTGATTTTCTGATCGCCTCTTTATCGATCCTTTAACCCTTTCACGACCCATTGTTTCTAGCCTGATTCGGCGCAAACCCTTTTCGTCAATTTTGGATTCTGGTGAGAGAAAAGTTTACGGGGAAATGATGACGACAACGGAAGGGATGATGGAAATGAGCGTGTTGGATGATATAATAAGGAGATTGTTGGAAGGCAAAGGCGGTAAACAGGTTCAGCTCTCGGAGGTCGAGATCCGTCAACTCTGTGTTAACGCCAGACAAATCTTCCTCTCTCAGCCCAATCTTCTCGACCTCCACGCCCCCATTCGCATCTGCGGTCTCTCCCTCTCTCCCTCATGATAATAATGTTGTGTTGATTTAGGTTTGGGTTAAAAATTGGTGATTTTTGCATGAAAGATGAGATTTTGATGATGAATTTGGGGAAAGTTTTGATTTTGATGAATTTTGGGTTAAGGTTTTTGCTAATGGTTTTGCTCTGTAATCGTCTCTGATCAGGTGATATCCATGGACAATACCAAGACCTATTGAGGCTATTCGAATACGGAGGCTATCCTCCGTCAGCAAACTATCTCTTCCTCGGCGACTACGTCGACAGAGGCAAGCAAAGTCTCGAAACAATCTGTCTACTCTTGGCTTACAAAATCCGATACCCGTCCAAGATATTCCTCTTGAGAGGCAACCACGAAGACGCGAAGATCAACAGGATCTACGGTTTCTACGACGAGTGCAAACGGAGATTCAACGTGCGGCTTTGGAAGATATTCACCGACTGCTTCAACTGTCTGCCTGTGGCTGCTCTTATTGACGATAAGATTTTGTGTATGCACGGAGGGTTGTCGCCGGAGTTGGAGAATTTGGGGCAGATTAGAGAGATTCAGAGGCCTACGGAGATTCCGGATAATGGACTTCTTTGTGATTTGCTTTGGTCTGATCCTGATCAGAAGAGTGAAGGATGGTCTGATAGTGATCGAGGTATCTCTTGCACGTTTGGAGCTGATGTAGTCGCTCAGTTTTTGGATAAGAATGATCTTGACCTCATTTGCCGAGGCCATCAGGTGAACAGAGAGATTCAAATGTAGATGCTTTTGTGAGTGTGAAAACCTGTCAAGAGATTTGATTTGACTGTGGTGTTGTTTGCAGGTAGTGGAAGATGGGTATGAGTTTTTCGCAAAACGGAGATTGGTGACAATATTCTCAGCTCCAAACTACGGTGGAGAGTTTGACAATGCTGGTGCGTTATTGAGCGTGGACCAGTCTCTTGTTTGCTCTTTTGAGATTCTGAAACCTGCCCCATCTTCATCCAGTAATCCTCTCAAGAAGGTTTGTTTCCACTTTCCACCAATGAGTTGAAAACTTCTTATGACAATGATAAATTAAGACTTCTCTGTTTGATCAGGTACCGAAAATGGGGAAGTCTTGAAACTCAAGAAAAGCTTTGTTCCCTTGAGATTTGGTTTTGAAGAAGCTCAAGCTAGGCTCTGTGGCGTATCTTCAGATGTAAGTTTAAGGAGAAGAGAACCTTGAAGGCTGCTTTACTTAGTCATTAATGAAGAAGCAAGCATCTGTAGAAAAACAAAACAAAAGAGATATAGAGAGAGAGAGAAAGAAAAGTTGTTATCCAAATATTCTGTGTATGTATAGTTGCAGAGACTTCTCTTTTCTGCTTCTGGAGATTTTCATCTCCTTTTGGTCTGTTTTCTTCTATTCTTTTAGTTTAAGTTAGAGTGCCTCTCCTCTTTTGGTTTTTTTTTAATTGCTTGTATCATCAAACAACAACATTTCTTAATCTTTCCATATTGAATTGACTTTCATGGTTTGGCTCTTACTTTTCTGAATCGTTCTCTACGGTAAAAAACTCAGTTTGATTAACAATTGTTGCTCTCATCCAAATATCGGTTCATATGATATTACAGAGCTTATTAATAATAGGTTTGAATGCTACGCTAAGGAACTCAAAGAGAGTTAAATCTTCTCTTAGGCAATCGGCAATCCCATTCCCATTCATGCCCCTTCTCAATCTTCTCGCATCAAGCCTGTTAAAGAGCATGTGGAGCAAGAGTGGTATTACCCAAGAAAGCTGTTGAGCCCGTATCATCTCTCTAACCCGCTTCTGGTGATCTCGAAACCCTGCAAAGTTCTCAGTCTTAACGAATGACTCCATCACTGGCTCCTCTAAACTTGATTTGCTTCCGTTAAAAGGCTCTTCTACGGAGTCATCATCATTCGTAACAGTGAAACCCACCGCATCGCAGAACACTCTGCCACTAGACTCCCATTTGGAAGCTTTCCCGCAGATAATACTATTGCTTGCTCCACACGGCACTTGAACCTGACAAATAACAAGAAACAAAGACGCTTATCTCTCATACTTCTGAGTTTTCTACCACAGGGATTCACAAACACTACTAAAGTAAGTCTTACCTGATTATTGGCATCACTACTAAAGTAAGCATCTGAGCAAGCTTCAAAGACTCTGTCACAAATGCGTAGAGTTCCTGACTGAATCTCAACATGTGGGTGACAGATTGAACATTCCAAAAGCTCAAACAAATCCAAGCATTCTTTAGCAGCTTCTCCATAAGTAGCCAAGTTCTCGAGAGCTACTGAAGCAGAGCAGCAAGTCTTCCCATGGAACACGTTACACATGTTTTGATCCTTAGACTCAAGATCAGCAGAGTTAGAAATGCAAACTCCGTTCTCATTTGAGTTAGCTGATGCACCTGAAACGCATATACAACGCTCAAAAACTCAACCCCACATCACATTGTATAAGCTTTTCTTGCAAAGTTTCATTATTTTCTAAGATATAGCCAAACGCACGAAACAGAGAGAACAAGTCGTGGCATTGCAACGAGTTCGATCTTTTTAGAGGTCAAACAATACGAAGATCACATTTTCGACCACGAAGAACATCTCGGTTCTCACAACTCAATTTCAAACGGGTTCTATTTCTATGCATCCGAAGGAATCGAGATGATACAAACGACTGAAAGATGAACAACATTTCAGCAGAACATCGCAAAGACTCAATTCAAGCGGCATTTTATGCATCATAACGAATCAAGATGATGCAACATAAATGAAAAGATGGAAACTTTCCGTGAAAACTTTCAGGACCCATTTGCGAAATTGAGCAAAAATATATACTCACCAGACGAAGAAGAGATCAAGAGATGAAGCATCAGGACTGGAGTAAGAACCAGAAACATCCTTTCCGAGAAAATTCTTCCCATCTTTCTCGACTGATCTCTACGATGAAACAGTAATTATCTCGAAGCAAAAGGCGAAGACGTGAGCAAGAATCGTTAGGATTCGAATCCAACAACTTGTAGCTTCGTCGCAACCCAATTTCTGCGGAATTGCTCAAATTAATTTCTTTAGATTCTCACTCTCTTCTCATGTATTTATAGTATAACACTTTGTGAAAACGAATAGAGCGCGACGTGAAACTGAACAGACAATTCTATCCAAAAAAAGAACAGACACTTTTAAAGCTTTAAGCAAAATGGAATACGAAGATTTGCCAATCCGGTTTTAATGTTCGATTTCGGTTCACAATATTTCCCGCTTTATTGAAAACCACTCCGGTTCATGGAGATTTCACAAACGAACTCGTGTAATAGACCGGTTTAATTCAATCTAATCGGTTTATTTTCTGCATTTGCAAACAAAGTTCAACAATCTATGTGCTGCTTTCTTTCAACTCAACAAGCTTTTTCATTCACCAAAACAATTTCATAAATCTGTTTGAATATCACAGAGAGACAAAAAAAACAAAAAAATACGAATTAACTCACAGGAAGACACAAGCCTTAAACGTTCTTCATTTTTGTCGGTGTGTGTTCTTTTCTCAACGAAGCACGATCTCCACTAAAGATAGCCATCAGTTTAGGCACCAGCTTGCCATGTTTCATCACAAACCTCTCTACAAACACCTTATCGCTACTCGCCAAAACAGACGCCATTGGAGGCACACCTTTCTCTCCTTTAATCAGTCCTTTCGACACCAGACCTTTGATCACATTACACCTCGGAACAATCCTCTTCTCCAAACTATAACCAAGAACCGGAGGAAACGAAACCACATCCTTCAGCGACCAAAACTCCATCTCCTTCACTAAAAACTCAACCTTCTTCCTCACATTCTCTTCAGACAACCCAACGCAATTAGGAAAACACTTGACCATCGCCACAAACTCTTCCCTACTGAATCCAATCCCAAGAAACATGTCAACACAGTTCCTCACCTTCTCTTCCGAAGAACGCATGAGCTCCGGACGCTTCTTCATCACCAACATCACTTCCTCTTCCACAAAACCACACTCTTTCAAAGTCTCAAACGTCTGAGCTATCTTCTTCTCCGAGAATTTCAAAGTGTAAGGCCACTTGTTGAACATTCCCATCACATCCTCCTCACTAAAGCCTAACCTTTTAAAGGTCTCGACTTTCTCTTGTCTCGTTTCCTCGCTCGTCTCGTAAACAACGTGTAGAGCTTGGACGAACCTCGACGTCGTCGGATCAAAACCCATCTCAACAACTTTCTTCACTGATTCTTCGAATCTCTCTTTCCCACACACAGGTTGGTACTTGGAGACGAGCAATGTGAATAAGAACCGTTGAGGCACTCCCAATTCTCTCAACGCCGTTATGTTTCGGATCTTATTCCCCTGCCTACCGTTTGCTGAAGAGTCAAACGTGGAAGTCTTATCTCCTTCTTCTTCTTTGTCCTTCTCTATAATGTCTCTGATGAAATCGTAATACAAGCCGGTGGATTTCGCCATTCTATTGCTCAGGATTCTGGGAACTTTTGAGACAATCTCTGTAAACTCAGAGCTTGAAGCACCTCTGGACTGCAAAGCTTGAAGCTTTGGAAGAAGGAAAGTCTCAGCGTCTAGTGTAAGCAATCGTGGGTAATTGCGGATGATCCCGGAGATCTGAGAATCTGTGAAACCATAACTTGTGAGAAGTTTCAGAACGGAACCCGGATTTGCCTTGGTTAAGATTGATTCCGCGAGTTTCGTAACAGCACTTGCAGCAGAGGAGAAGGAATTGGAGAAAGGAGACGCATTTTGCACAAGCTTCACTGAAATAGCTCTCAAGTTGCAAACTTTATGTAACTCGATACACTTTTTTCCATGGAGTAGCAGAGAGTACATTGCTAGGTCCCCCAAATTGAAAATGAATTTCGGAAGTGTTGAAAGTTGAAACGATTCGTATTTGAGCGAACTATTTGTTTCAATTCGAAGATAAATTGCAAAACGCAGAGGGAAACACAAAAAACAGAGCGTGACCCCCAAATCGCCAGAAAAAAAAATAAAATAAGAAGCGAGGTTTTAGGGTTTTGAATTTTGAAGAACATTAAGGGTAATTTAGTAATCTAACAATTGATTGCGAATGTTTTAGCGTGTTGAGGAGAGAACGATCGCACAAAGTCAGACACATTCTTCTCATCTGTCGCCGCCGTTCGTCTCGTCGGTGAGTGTTGCTGATTTTCCCCCAATCTCCGAATCCTCTGATTATTTCTTTGGTTTGATGATCGTTTTCACGTCCTGAGGTTTCGTCTCAGCTCTTAAATTTGTTTGATTTCTGCGTTTTTGTAGAGTTTTTTTTTGTGCTGTCTCGATTCGTGGTCGATTTCATGACATGTGTCACCGTTTTTTTAATATGATTGCATAGTGTCTCTTCGTTTTCTGAATTTGTTGATCGAACCTAGTCTCTTTGTTCCTTGGATTGATATGTAAACGGCGGAATTTTTGAGAGTTTCTAGCCAATTGCTAGAGGATCCTTGGTTCACATCTTTCAAATTAGGAATCTCTGAAATTAGACTCTTCATATAATGTTATTTGGGAGCTGAATGGTTAGAAGAGTTATCTTATCATTTTTCATTGGTTCTTTGACAGCTCTATGCTTTTGTAGCTGCTAATGCTTTCGAAGTCCGTTTCATTCTAATGTCATTGTTTCTCTTTAAGGGAAAACATAAAATGGAGACGCAGAAAACTGAAAACGCGCCAAAACCAGCCATGGCTTCGTGTAGAAAGAAGGCAAAGGATGATGCTAATTTCCTGGAAGACGTCAAGGATCACATTGATGAATTCATCAATGCCTCCATGGATGATCACAAGAACTGTTTCAACAAAACCATCAAGAAGGTTTCTCTTTCTTCATTAGTACCTTAAGCTCATATCAGATCTTACTCAATTTAGACTCTGCGACTTGGTTGATCAGATTTAGCTAACTGTTTTTTTGCTTGGGTTGTTTTTCCAGATGTTTGGGTTGTCAAAGGCTGTTGCAGAGAAGCAGCAAGCTGAGAGTAAAGGAGTAGAGAGTTATTTGCCTCTTAAGACAACACTCTCGGACTAGAGAGACACCAACCTATAATAGGATCTTGGTTCGGTTTGTTTCGTCTACTGATATTTATGGGATATGTCAAATTATTGGTGATAAAGAAATGATAGACGAAAACTAGTTATTGATGGGTAACTTATCAAACTTAAGATATCTGTTCTGCGCTTTTTTATAGTTGATCTCTTGAAGCACAAGTGATGAACATAATCGTACACATTGATTCTTAACCTTTGATTTCACTAGTGATGTGTTTCAGAATATGCTTAAACACAGATTCTTTTGGTTTTGAAAACTTTTCTTGTTTCTCATTTTCAGTGTTTTCTTGATATCTCATGTAACTGTTCTTGTACAGAGAGAGATTGAGAGCAAGTAACTAATCACTTTGTATCGGGAAAAAAAACTGAATATGGAAAACGGAAGAGACGAAAGAGAAATGTGTTTGTGTGGTCCACCATTTATGATTTTAATCCTCTCATAACCAAATAACAGGATCATACAATCTTAAGCAAATTAGTTTTCTTCAAACAATTGTCTGAAACAAAAAGTCGACTTCAACCAACACTTTTTGTACAATATTTTGATTCTCTCTTCACTAGTGGAGGTGTTTCAGAATATGCTTAATCACAGATTCTTGTGGTAATAATAAAAGGTGTTTGATAAATCGTCTTGTTCATCATTTTCAGTGTTTTCTCATGTAAATGTTCTTGTAGAGAGAGAGAGAGAGCAAGTGACTAAATCCATTTGTATCGGAGAAACAGATTATGGCAAACCGAAGAGACGAAAGAAAAATGTGTCTGTGTGTGTTCTACCTTTTCTTTTGCCAAAATGATTTTAATCCTCTCATAATTAAATAATTGGATCATACAATCATAAGCAAAATATTGTTCTTCAACAATTGTCTGAAACAAAGAGTCAACTTCAACCAACACTAAATAAGATGTGATCTGTCAAAAATAAAAACACAAGGACGAAGATAGCAGAAACCAAAACAGCAGAAATAGGGAACAGAGTATATAGCTCTAAACAAAACCGGTTGATGGGTTTTAGTCTTCCTCCTCTGCCTCGTTCTCAGCGATGTTGAAGTACCTCAACTCGTAGAGGTTACGGTCCTTGTTTGCTGCAATCACTCTGAGCCAATCCCTCACATTGTGCTTCTTCAAGTACTTCTTTGTCAAGTACTTCAAGTACCTGACAACACATCAAACCAAGTAGTAAGCACAAAGGACACACTAAAAGATTGCATCAGTTTGGTTCCTACAATCACTTGTATCATCTCAAAGCCAATTAGGTTTGTACTGTAATTACCTCTTGGAGAAAGGACCATCAGAAGTGACGGTGATCTTGCTCTTCTCACGGGTGATTGTTATGGAGTCACCGAGAGCACCAGCTTTGCCGCCGACTTTGATCCTCTCCTGAAGGAACTTCTCGAGAGAAGCAATCTCCATGATCTTGTCATCGACAGGCTTTGAGCAATCGATGGAATAGGAAACACTCTTCTTCTTTCCCTTGGCAACGGCTGCGGTTCCACGACTCATTTTTCAACCACTTCTCTCTACAAAATCCCCAAAACACAATCCACAAAGTGTTTACAGACCATTGACAATGAAACGCACACACATACCAAATACATAACTGTTTCTATACACTGTTAACGAATTCCATTTGATTTCATTACGTCTAACGCCATTTTCAAGATGACAGGACTAGCTCAAAGCCTGGGAAATTCACAGTGAGATCTGCATCGCGGATGCGAATCGAGATTACTTTAGATGAGAGTTTCTATCTAACCTCGTCAATTTCAATCTCAATAGACGAAACAAGAGCTGAGCTAAGAGAATTCGTTATCCTATTCCATTTTCAAATTTAGCGAGCTAAGACTATCAAATCTATAGGAGAGATTGAAGAGCATTCCACTATAGGGAGAGAGAGAGAGAAAGAGTGAAAAGCGTACCTTGAACAAACACTAGGAGGTGGAACTGTCTGAAGAGACGAACGGCGTCTTGGGTAGCTCTTAAACGAGAGGAGACGGAAACAAATGGCTAGGGTTTTTGCTCATTTAAAGTGCTCTTGTAACCCTAAAGTCTATTTCTCTAAATTACCTTAACCTCCCCATAGTTTTCTTAAATCTCAAAATAATCCCAATAGTTTCTAATTTAACAAAACACTCCCCATTCGTAGGCAACAAGTGAGATTTTTCATGTGATCAGATCAGTAATCACCAACAAATGCTAGTTGTTCAATTTTTCTTGTGATCAGTAATCCAGCCAAAGCAGCTCAAGTCAACGCCTGAGCATGCAACCTGAGAAGAAACTCGATAAGAAAATAAATATGTTCGTTATGAAGATCAACAAAAGCACACAGAGAGCAATAATAGGACCAAAACTATTAACCACAAATTGAGCGTTCGCCGGTATTATAGAAAAAGAAGGTCAGGAGAATTCTGTTTTTCTTTACCATTTTTATAACATTATGATGCCCCACCCACACACTGATTTCATGGGAACATTACTTTACCAATCGAAGACACTAAAAAGATTTCATAATTCATAGTTGGGTTTCTTGTTATGCAGAAAATAAACACCAGTGAGAAGTGTGATAGGCAACAGAAGTAAGAAAAGGAGCTGATTAAGAAAAATATAAAAGAAACTCAACACTTCAAATTTAGCATATCCAGAAGAAGAAAAAGTTTCATTAGGGTATCTCACTTGGATACCATTGTAGCCACATAAAAACAAATATCCAACGACCTTTTCCTCCCCGGATCCAAACCAGACTCAAACCGGCTCGAACCGCACGGTCACCACCAACTACCAACCACCAACTGGGGAAGCAGTCTCTCTCCAAACCATTACATACCATATGTGTTTTTAGATTATCATCAAATTCATCACATAACTTGAGCATGCAGTTTTCAGGTTTTTTTTCAAATATCAAATTCCCAATGTTTTTATGTTTTTCTTTTGTTTTGTTTTTGGTCCAACGCTCATGAGAATTGCCCCGACTGGTGAAGATTCTCGCCAGGGTACTGACTCAACTCTCACGACGACCCTCCTCCTCCTCCGCCGTGCCTCTGATGGAAGCTCCCAGATCCTTCATTGAACGAAGATGTCCAAATGGATGGTTCTCTGTCCATCTGGTTAACCGGGTAGGCTTGTTGCGATTGCATGTAAGGATCTCTCTCCCATATGTTAAACCGGATAAACCCGCTCCCGCCTGCCTGATCCGAGGAAGACGAACTTGATCCCATCCCGGAAGCTATCCCTCTAGCCGGCCTCCGTCCAGACTGGAACACAGGCCCACGAGACACTACAGGAGACTCAGGTTGGTGTGACTGTGCAGAAGACTGTTGGTAATAGGCTTGAAGAGCTTGCGTTCTGCCTCGGGTCCGGTCGTTGCTTCCCGGAAAAGGCGGTGTCCTCGGAACTGATGCCACCGAGCTTCCTGCTCGACCACTGGAACTGCAAAAGCCCACACATAGATGATGTATTTTTACCAAACCAAATATAGTAACTCAGCTTTGAAGTCAAGAGAGAGACTATGTACCTGTGACCATGATAAGGACGCATGAAATGCGGCGGTCTGGGTCTGATAACATCTGAGCCGTTGGCTCGGGAAGTCCTAGCAGCGGTTGGTGGAGGTGTGGGCTGAGTTGGACTGCCAACGTGAGCGCCGGAAGTAGAGAAATGCTGTGGAGGTGGGGGTGGAGGCGAGTGATAATCCCAGCCGTGATAGTGCGGATCCACAGGGAAACCATAAGGCGTTGGGACTTCACCGGAGACCGATGAGCCAGTGTTCCAGTGACTACTGAAACTTGAACTGTCTGAAACACCTCCAGCACCGCCTGTGCTTGAGGACGACGAATGAACAGGGCCAAAGTAGGTTACATATGGACATGGGTGGCCCGCTGTTGGCGCTGCTGGTTCTGTAAAGTAACCTTGCTGTCCCAGGAGATCGTGATCTGTACAACCGTGAATAAACCCAAGATGTCAGAAACGTTAGAAGAAGGTTAAGGAGATTAAAAAAAAAGAGAGAAATAACCAATCTGACAATGCCTTACATGAACTCGGAGAAAATTCTCCATCCCTACAAAGTTTAAGAGAGAGTCATCAGCAAGTTTCTGTTTATGTATCAGAAGAGGTATTATGTAACTAATACTTACTCGAAAGAAGGAAGACGTGCTGAGCTTCCAAATGGACACCAGTGAACTCCAAAAGACTGCAGAGATACATAAACACAAGCGTTTTCGACATGGAACATAATTCAAGCAATTATCTTTGATAACAAAACTCAGCATTTGAGGAAGAAAAGTCTATAAGTATAATGTGGATGAGCAAACAGAACTTGGGACGGATAGGTTTACCATTTCAGAGTATCCTCCGATATCATAGATTTCTTCTTCATGAACCCAATCCTCGACACTGAACTCAGGGATTGAACGGCAACCGTTTGCGTAAAGCCACTGGCCTTTTTCTACTTTCCGACAGTTTGGGCACTGCATCACACCCTTTGCATTGAAAGCTGAACCAATACAATCTAGAAAACAAAGGAAAACAGATGTGAAGTTAGATGGCTTTGCGTAACAACATAAGAAACCAAAGGTAAAAAAGCATTTACCACCTAACCTTTAGCTACAAAGCTCTCTTGCATAGATTCATATGGATAATCACTAATCTATCAGGACAATTTGGTCAGCCTATACATACAAACACACAGAGACTCTTATTGAGTCCACGCATCCAAGATTGTCATGCAGTGAACAAAGATTAAGAAGAAAATGGCCTATACGCACTTGCGAGCTAATTATTCCCTCAGAAACAATATGAACTAAGAACATTTACTGCTGAAACACAAATGGGACGAATATTCTGAGCTAATAGATGCATCAAACAAAGTGAAGAGATCAATCGAAGAAACTTGGCATTTGTGATGAAATGCTAATCAATGACAATTCGACCAGATTATGAATTATATCAAGCATGAACCGATTAGTTTCAGAACTCAGTACACATCCATGATCTTCACAACAAAAAGAGCCAAATTGCACAAATAATGGTAGCCGCGAAACAGAATGTAACAGGTCCATAATTCACAAATAAAATCAAACGGAAGGTAGATCTGGGTGATTCAAATCGAAATCTGGAGCAAATTCTTCAGTTTTCAAACAATCAGGAACCAAAATCAATCGAATCAAAAAAAGAGCATAATTTAGAAATCGGAAAAAAACAGAAATGATACCGAGATGGAACTGGTGGCCACATTGAAGATTAGCCCAAGCTCGATCGCCGTCTTTAGCAACCGTCTCGAGACAAATCGAACACGCAATCGAGCCAAAACCATCTCCTTCGTCGCGAGAATCGCCATCGGCGCCACTACCTTCGTCGGCGAGATTATTATCACCGAAACTGAATTTGTTAACCTTATTGCCTAAACCCATAACCAAATTCAAATCAAAACAACCCAAATCTCAAAACCCTTTTTTTCTTCTTTTTTTTTGGTTTTTTTTTCGAAATGATACCACAAAATTCACAGAGAAATTCCGTTTCCCCCAATTCCTTACGGTTTTGATTCGATTTAATTTAGCAATAATAATTAATACTATCTTATGAATCTGTGAACTCTCTCCGATCGTCACCAACAGAGGACCCAGAAGAAGAAGAAGAAGAAATGAAGGAAAAATAAAAATCGCTCTGTATTTTTGAAGTTTTTTTCTCGCGTTATGTTTTGTGTGAGAAAAGATTGGGTTACGGGTAGAAGCAATGACCGATGTCCAAAGACTCCAAACTTTTACAATGGACGGTTTAGATTTATTCTCACGGATTTGTCTACTTGACATCAGCTGCTTCCCAAAGCTATTTCTTTTTCTTCTTTTACTTTTTTTTTTAAGAAATTAACATTTATAAGCCCAACTTTTAACATTTATTATAGTTACCACCTTGGTAGTTTAACTTTCTATTTTTGGTTCTTTTTTTTTTTACTGTTTTAGTTTTGTTTTTGACAAAGATGTTTTACTGTTTTAGTTTGATTTCAATTCGGTTCAAAGTAATCTGGTATTTTAGTTACTATACTATATGATCAAGGAAAAATAGCTAGCATTTTAAAAAATTACCATCAGTTTGAACTCAATCAGGATTTTTTGGGTTTTTTTTGTTTCAGTTCAAATGCAATTTATTTTTCGACAGTTACATGCATTTTATTAAATTTGAATGGTGCTATGACGACCGCACTAATATAAAGGAAATAAGATGATAATTTCGTGTTTTTTACAGCCCAGTAAGTATATAAACTGTATGAGTTTTGTATAGTTTAGAATAACTAAGAAAATGATTATCAAGTTAAAAAAAAAAAGGTGACTTGTTGTACTTCTTAATGTTGATAATTAATTTCTTTAGCAAAAAAATGTTGATAATTAATTTCTAATCGCGCGAAGAGTTTGATTCCTAATAAATAGATATGATCTTTAAAATATCGAAAACTAAGAAATAATTAAACATTTATGAACTGTCCCATGCGATAATAGGCTATCTGTGTTACAATAAATATCACAGATATTGTGGGTTCTAAAAGTACTCCAAGTATTTTTTGTATACTAAACTTTGACGCATTTTCTGTTACTTTTAATTTATTTTGCCACTATTTAACTGAAGGAAATCATATGCAAGAACGATTATGGTGTGCGTGTCATTACACGTTTATAATTGCTATACGGAATTTTACTATGAGACATTAATCAAATAAATTTTCAAAAAGGTAAATAGTAGTCAAAGTTTATTGCGAGTCCAATGTGACGATGTTCCCAAGCGAATTATTGCGTCCACATGCCAAAAATTTATTCGCGCCGACTTTTGCAGCTCTGCTCTCCGTACTCTCCGTACTTACCCATTTCGCTCTTTTATTTTACTTTTTTACAGTGAAGATTATTCTTTCTAGTTTTTACCCGAAACCGAAAGTTATTAAACTTAGCTGAATGGAAATGTGATCTTGTTTTCAAAAAGTTGTTTTTTGTCGAGAAGAAAAAGTTTCCTAGTTTTTGACCACTCAAAACTAAACAAAAATCGGCGATTGGATTTCAACATTTTCCTAAATTGCTCGGACTGATATTTATTTATTTATTTTAATTGAAATAAACAGTACATTTTTTTCTGCTATGGTGTAAAAGATGTGTATGCAATCTATTAATGTCTTCTGCTGCCATAAAAAATAAAATATGCAGGCAAGTAAATTTTAGGTGTCTTCAAACACTAAATCACGTTGTGGAACTTAAACTTGTCGCATATATATGTATGCGCTACTTCTAAATAAAATGAAAATTTTGTTATTTTCCGATGTATTTTTTTTTTTAGTCAAAAAGTTAAGTGAAACAAGGAGATTATGGGCTTGATTGGCAAGAGCTGTAGAATCTGTGCACAGCCAAAATTAAAATCTACAGCACAAGTGAATACCAATCATGCTTTTTATCTATTTTTAAGTTTACAGCATTTTTTTTGCTCTCCGTCTTTTTTAGTGCTGTAGAAAGCTAAAAATCCACAGCCCAGATTTATGTGCTCTCCATGTGCTCTCCATAATAATATTACTTATCTTTTCTAAAATTAATTAAAAGGTAATTGATAAATATGAATACAAAACCTTCATTATATATATTTATAAATTCAAAACCCAACTCAATCGTTCACAAAAAATAATGGGTTGATGAACAAATGATACCACTTATTATTATGTCAAAAATGTTATTTTAAGAATAATTATTTTAGATATTTATTATTTTTATTAAAAATATGTATGATGTTTTGGCATGTTAAGTGAAATTATTTATATTTTATTATTTATTAGTAGTAATGATTTCTTAATTACACATAAGATTAATAATCTACAAGTATATGTATAGATATTTTACCAATCAAGCTTTCCTTCTGAAAAACTTACAGTCAAATTTCTACAGCCAAAATCTTACAGCTAAAAAACCTACAGACGGATTTCTACAGCAAATTTTTTAAAGCTACAGCCACAACCAATCAGGCCCTATGTTAATTAAGAAAATCAATTTGAGCTGTTGTCAACAAAACAACGGTTAGTATTTGACACACGTAAATAAGGAACGGCTCACACGACCAAAAAAAACAAAATAAGGAACGGCTCTGATTCGACAAAGGAAACTTTCTTTTTTGTTTTAGGAAAAGAAGAAAGGCATAAGCAGAAAAAAAAAAAAAAAGAAGACTCCTCCTACTTGCCACGGTTAATGTACACACCATAAACTCTATAAATAGACATCTCCTTCTCTTCTCTTAATCTCTTCACCAGCGAAAGAAGTCTCGATCTCTCTCTCTCTCTAGGTTTACCGATCAAATCAGCTAAAGCAAACAAGACAGGAATCTTTCTTTCTCTTTCTCTTCAAGCATGTTGGTTTACCAGGATCTTCTTACGGGTATGTAATGTAACAATATGATTCTGGTTTATGTGGTGAATCGTTGATGACGAGTATCTACGATTTCGCGTTTGCGTTTAAGTTTCTAGGTTTTAAGTTGATGATCATCAAACCTCAACTGTAGTCACTTAACATATATTGTTTTGTACGTATTGCTTGTGTCAGAAGCTAAACATTGCGTGTCTTTTTGATCAAACAGGCGATGAGCTTCTGTCTGATTCCTTTCCTTACAAGGAAATCGAAAACGGCATGCTATGGGAAGTTGAAGGAAAGGTACGATTCATAAATAAAACCTTGATATTTATTAATTGAAATTGAATGTGAGATATATTGTGTTGTGTATATGTTCATCGATCAGTGGGTGGTGAATGGAGCGACGAATTTCGACATTGGTGCAAATCCATCAGCCGAGGAAGGCGGTGAAGACGAAGGAGTCGACGATCAAGCTGTGAAGGTTGTCGATATCATCGATAATTTTAGGCTTCAGGAACAACCATCGTTTGACAAGAAACAGTTTGTGATGTTCATGAAGAGATACATAAAGCAACTAACCCCTAAGCTGGACTCGGAAAAACAAGAGCTGTTCAAAAAACACATCGAGAGTGCTACCAAGTTTCTGATGTCAAAGCTCAAAGATTTCCAATTGTAAGCTCTTCTAATTGACTTTTTAATGTCCTCTCAAATTTCTAGTTTTGTTAAAAAGGCCTATGTTTTTTTGAAAAATTGGTAACTAAAATTAAACGGACGTGACAGCTTTGTGGGAGAGAGCATGGGGGAAGAAGGAAGCATAGTGTTTGCATACTACAGGGAGGGAGCCACTGATCCTACTTTTCTCTATTTAGCTTACGGCTTGAAGGAGATCAAGTGCTGATTATTAATATTTCCCTCTTTTTGTGCCTCTTCAATATTTTACTTTTGTGTCTTTTGGATGAATTTTTAGAGATTTTATTATTTTAGAGTTTTCCAATACTCGATGCAACTTCTTTAGCGTTTTTTGCCTCTTCAATATTTTTACTTTTGTGTCTTTTGGAAGAATTTTCAGAGATTTTACCATTTTAGAGTTTTCCAATACTCGATGCAACTTCTTTATTGTTATAACGGAGAAGGATGCCTCATTAGTGGAGAAAGAATTACTTGATAACATGAATTAAGCCAAAATGTTATCAACTTTCGAATTACTTGATAACATGAATTAAGCCAAAATGTTATCAACTTTCGAAAATACTTTTACACTCCAGAATAGCTTCTACGTTGACAAGAAGAATGTTGTGGTTAAACTTTTAAAACTTGCTTAAAATCAAACCACATTTCCCGTAACAGTAAAGTATTTTGATAAACATGACTCAAACTGAAATGTAATAGAGTAATAGATATTTAATTCCAATCTTTATCACGAAAAAAAAAAGACGAACACAATTATATGAATTTTTTGATAATAGATATCCTGATTCGAAAATTTAAAAAGATCCAAACCGGAATAGTTCAAGCTATGAAAGTAAAAGCAGAGAGAAACACAAATGATGAGAGAGAGAGAGACTAGGCGTAGTAGTTCAAGCTTGCTTTCTTCTTGGCCTGGACTTGGATGATTCCTTCATTAAAGTCCTCATGGTTTACCTGGGAAACAAGCACAACAACAACAAAGAACCCTCTATGTCTTAGAACCAGACCAAACCCCAATCATAAAGCTTAAAATCACCAACATATTTGTATCTTCTTACCTCAGTGGCATCGCGGCGAAGAGCTAACATGCCTGCCTCTACACAGACTGCTTTCAGCTGAGCTCCATTGAAATCGTCTGTTGATCTTGCAAGCTCCTCAAAGTTGACGTCTGGGTGGACATTCATCTTCCTCGAGTGAATCTACATTCATTCAGTTTGGGTTAATTGAGATAAGTGAGGTTTTTCGTTTTAACAAGAGTTGTGTTCAGAAAATGGAGAAAAGACAAACCTGCAAGATTCTGGCTCTTGCTTCTTCAGTTGGATGTGGGAACTCAATCTTTCTGTCTAGTCGACCAG